TTACCTGGCACCCTTCCTGATTCAAATGGGAAGCACAGAGAAGATGTCCAAGTGGCAAGCCCTACGCCTCAAGGAAGATTGCCTGAATGATTTCAAGCACCATCTCATTGACAAGGCCAACCTCATCCAAGCTCGCTTTGAAAAGGTTCTCACCCACTTTCTCTTTGTCCACTCCTTTGGCTTGGTCTCTTTTGCTTTGGGACTGGGAAACATGTGGGGTTCTCTCTTCATTTTACAGCAAGTGAAAAAGCAACACTCCTCCAACATCTCTGTCTAGGAGGAGGCAGTATATATGCCCTCATGTTTCTCTGTCTTTACCCAAGGAGACCAAAGGGCAGATAGCCCTAGGACCAAATTCAGTAGATTTGTTCCAGCTTATATCAGAGCAGAATTTGACCCGCAATGTCTCCTATCTCCCAGGAGGCAACGCTTCTACATTTCTCTCTCCTTCCCTTGCTTTCCATATTTTGCTTACTTTTTCTATGCCCTAATCTCATTTATTGCTTCTGACTTATTACATTTCTTCTTCTTTGTTCTTTTTTCTTTCCTTTGGTTCCTTTAATCTTGATACGCTACTTCTGTATCTCTCTCTCTCTAATACCCTGATTCTTCCTTCTTCCCATCAGGAGACACAGGAGTTGCAGAAGAAACAACAGTGGTACCAGCAAAACCAGCTCTCTATGACCTTGGAGGATGAGGATGCCTACCTAACCTACTGCTCTGATGCCATGTTCCGAATCCGCATTCTGGAGATACGGCTTAATAGGTAATAATAAGTATTTAATGAATGTGTGGCAGTCTGACAGGAGTGATTTAAGGGAGATCTACAGATGGAGATTCACTGGGGCTTTGCATTTCAATTTTTGATAATTTCATAATCTGAAAATATTCCACTTAATATCAATATCATCTAATACAATCCAGCTTCTTCCTCTGATTTCCTCCTTATTTTAGGCACAAAGAGATGGCGCCACAGAAATACATAGAACTGGAAGAGAAATTGTGCAAGGATCCTCGCCTGACTGAGTATCTCAAATTTAATGTCTGATATAGTCCCTGTTCCCTCACAACAGTCACTGGGAATCAGTGCAGAAACCTGCACAGAGTTGGCTGAGCTAACCGTACGAGCTACTGGAGAGAAATGTGACATCTTTTTCCTACTTGTGTTTAATGAACCATTTGTGGTCTGATTGATCAAATTTCCCCCAGGGCCCCTCTGCAGCTTTCTCTAGGAGCTGCTGGGATCTCCACTGTAGTGTAGAGGATATAATAGCAGAAGTACCTTCATTTCCACACATTTCATTTATCCCTTTTTTTTTTCATTAAATGTTTTCCTAGTGAGGCTTATGTCCTGTTTTATTATTATTTCATACTTGTATATCTGCCTTCTTCTTGTTACCTTGCTGTTTTAAGGCCCACCTACACTAAAATTACAATTGAGTCAAAGGGCTTGGTTAGAATAGAATACAGTTGTCTTTATGGTTCAGTTCTGCAGTCTAAATGAGCCCTCATCTTTAGCCTCTTACTTTATAAGTTGCTATGGTCAAGGTTACATGTTGGACACTAGCGTTTTTTCCTATGTCCATTTGCTTCACACGATTGCTGATATCTAGAGATATATTAAGCTTCTATCTCTCACCAACAAAAGTTGGTTCCATAAAAGATATTACCTCAACCACCTGGTCTCTCTGATTTTGAGAGACTGCATTATTTAAAGAGTTGACTCTTCTGAAATCCAGTAATTTCTGGATGTGCAGGGAACTACTGTTCCGACTATATAACTGAGACCACCAGTGAAATCTTTTAACTATATACTTGCTGGTTTTCCACAAATATAAAAATTCAGTGACCATCATTAGAATTACTCATTAATTACAAAAGGCAGTAAGGTGTAGAACAGCTGTTATTTGATAGAATTTGACAGAAATCCCGTAGTCCCAAAAAATTTTTAAAGAAAAATATCAACCATTTTCTTTACTGTCACTACAAAACATCTTTTTTAGAAAAATATATTTAGAAAGGAAAAGGCATCTTTATTTTTCTCTCCCACTCTCCCCAGTTACAGCTCACAAATGTTGGTAGATACGAGGAAATGTCAGGAGTAAACCAGAGTGCATTTCTAATCAAGGGAACTTTAGGTAATAAAGTGTTTTGGAAACACAGTGCTTTGAAATCCATAGATGGAAAACACTATATAAATGCTAAGTATTATTCTTGTATGCAGTGTTGTTGTAGCCATGTTGGTCCCAGGATACTAGAGAGGCAAGGTGGGTGAGCTAACATCTTTTCTTGGACCACCTTCTGGTGGTGGGAGAGACAAGCTTTTGAGTTTATACAGAGCTCTTCTTCATCCAAAGAGTGTTAGGCATTTTATAGACAAGTATGAAGACAATCCAACTCACAATCCTCAAAAGATTACCTATAATTATCCCCTCTAACTAGGCTGTCACAAGTCCAATCAAGCATTCCCTCTTGAGCATTTTCTTTGGGCTGAGGTGAGGGTTGTCTGGGGCCATCCAAGGTCTTTCTGTTTCAACATATGACTTGGGCTCTGAAATAAGGAGTCTCCTCCTGCCCCAGCTCATTTACTCTGATCTTGGCTGGTCCATCCATTTCCTTCCTCCTGCCCAGAACTTTCTGTTTGCCTCTCTGAGCCTCACCATGAGTCCTTTTATAACCTCCTGCTTTGTCACCTCTGTCTTTTTGTTCTGTTTGGTGAATTTCCAGTCTCTTCACTCCCCACTGCCTTCAGACAAGAAGAGTACATATCTTCTCCCAGCACCAGCAAACCCACTGTCCCAAGGAACTTCATCAACCTTAACAGGTGGTCACAGAAATTTAATGACCCACTGTTGAACCTGGTTTGGGAGGTACAAGCTGAAAGGCTTGTAAGCAATCATGGATATACACAGACAAAGTGGTATTCATGATACAGCAATTTTGAAAGTAACAACTTTATAATAACTTCATGGGAATTCACATTGCAGATAGTTCACCAAATCACACAGGTAGATACTGATTACAATCTGGGGAAGTCAGAAACACATTCTGCTATGAAATATTAGAATACCCCAACGTGGGGCATTGGAAGGGGAGGAGTACTTGTGGCACCTTAGAGACTAACCAATTTATTTGAGCATAATAAGCTCAAAGCCTATGCTCCAATAAATTGGTTAGTCTCTAAGGTGCCACAAGCACTCCTTTTCTTTTTGCAAATACAGACTAACACGGCTGTCACCCTGAAACCTGGAAGGGGAGAGGGGATTTACTCCTTGCTCTGAAGCACACAGCTTAGGCCAGAGAACAGATGGCCCATCTGTTCCTGGGCTGCTGCCCACCACAAACACGGTAGCATTATTAGGGGGCTGTTCGCAGATGCACTGGGACAGGACAGGTCATTGAAACGTGGCCATTTTCTCTTGCTACGGAATATTTCCTCAAGAGGTAACCATAATCTTATTCTTGATAGATTTTAAGGCCAGAAAGGGCCAGTAAATCATCCAGTCTGACTGCCTGTATATAACAGGCCATGAAATTTCACCCACTTGCCCCCGTACTGAGCCCAGTCACTTGTCTCTGGCTAACAGAGAGGCACCCAGGCCGGCTGCGCAGACACGCGGAGACGGAGAGTCCGCGACCTCCGCCGGTGGTTTGCCCCAGAGGTCGTATCACCCTCACCGCAACGATTTGCGCCTCATTTCTTATTTCCAGGGGGCTGGCGGCAGCTTCCGGCCCCCGGCCCGTTCTCCCGCGTGGCCCCGCTCCGCCCTTCGCGGCGCCGCCTCACGCTGCCAGCCCAGCTCTGCCCGCCTCGCAGGACGCGGCCCCCGCGCCCCGGGCTCCCAACGACCCCCCCTCCGCGCCAGTAGCCCCAGGGGCAGCCTCCAGATCGCGGCAGGGGCCGTTACGCCAGCCTCGCCCCGGGGGGAGGGGCAATGGCCGGGCACAGGAGGGTCACCGGCGCTCAGGGCCCTCCCCTCGGAGCAGTCAGGATAAGCCATGTCCGAAGCCAATATGCCTGCCCGAAGCCAATATGGCGGCGACACGGCTACACCATCCCACGGGGGCTCTCTCTCTCTCTCCTTCTCTATTGGTTACCTAGTAGGGGCTCAGCCAGCAAGACCCGCTGGGAGTGGCCAGGAATTCCGCGGTTGCTAAGGCGACCAACCGATCTGTCATTGGTAGAGCTCATCCTTGCGGGCGGGCTTTGACCCCACTTCGTGTTCGGTGATTGGTCAGTGTGCCTGGAGAGGCGGGGCGAGAAACCTCAGCAGCGGCGGCGGCTGGGCGGCCGAAGAACGGCGGGGATAATGGGCTGCTCTGATTGGCGGGACTGCCGCGGAGCGGGTGGGCCCGGATGCAGGCGGCGCGTGCGATTCGGCGAGGGCCGCGTGGGGGCGGGGCCAGGCCCGAGGTTTGTTGTGAGGGTGAGGGCCGGTTGTCAGGCAGGGGCCAATCAGGGTGGGGGATGGGAGCAGGTGGGGGGTCCGGGCTGGAAGGCGGAGCGGAGCTCGGAGCCGCTGCAGGTAGGAGGGGGCGGGAATGGAGTCGGGTCCGTCCCCCGCACGCCGGCTGCGGGGGGGGGCTGAGAGGGTCTAATTCCCCTTCCCCCCCCCCCGGCTCGCAGGCCCCACGGTGAGGGGTGGGGCGCGGTTCTGATTCGGGCCTTGGTGCTACTCATGGGGGCGGGGGCCCAGAGCGTGCTGGGCGGGGGGGACCCTCCTTCTCCCCTCCCCCGGCCGGGGGCCCGGTGTGGGGACCCTCCCTCGCCCCTCCCCCAGGCCGCCGGGCGGGGACGCCTCCCCCGGGTGGGCTGCCGGGGAGCTGTTGGGGCTGGAATGTGTTCACGTGCCGGTTCCCGCGGCCGGGAGGGGGAGGGAGCTCGGCTGTGGGACCCCTCGGCGCGGAGCTATTGGGGGAAGCTGTAAAGGTGGCTCCTCCCCCCCCCGTGCGGGGCGTGGGGGCTGCTGGCGTGGAGGGGCTGGCGCGGGGGGCCACCCCGAGGAGGGAGCTGAGCCGCACTCCCGGGCGCCCTGGATCGCGTGGCTGCGGGGCGTCTTATGAAGCTGCTCGCCTATGAGTCTCGCCAGAGAGGGGTGGGCAGGGGGTAGATACTCGCGTGGGGATGCGGCTCTGCCGCACGGATCGTATGTTAGCAATGGCCAGGAAAAGCTGCCACCTTCATTCAGTTTCTGTACGGAGCCTGAGTGACAACTCAAGGGTTTAAAACTCACTGGCTTAACAGCAGTGGCTTCCTCATAAAGGTGGAGTGGAACTTGATTCAGTAGGTCTGGGGAAACTTTTGGGTGACCTATTAAGATAAGTGGTTGCCTAGTAAGCTTCTTCCCTTGTGCTAGGTACACTGACTTGTAAACATCTTCAGGACCTAGCCATTGAACTATTCTAATTATTTTAATTGTAATAATTAGTGTATTAATAACCTCTGATTAGCCCTGTGATAATCTTATTGAATTGAGCCTTGTTTTGCTTTTGTTGTTGAAAGCTGGGAGATGGGAAGTGGTCATATAGGCAACCAGTCCATACTCTTTAGCTTACACTAGAAGAACAAGATTTGATGACCTTCCTCACAAATAATAATTAAATAAATATTCGTTATTTGTATTGCCATAGCACCTAGGAGCCCTAGTCATTAACCAGGACTCTATTGTGCTAGGTGCTGTTACAAGCAGAATAAATAGATGAATATTACAACTATACACTGAACTTTGCACCTGCTGTACTGACTGAGTGGTATCACAGGACAATGCCATAAACGTTAAGATTCTTTCTTTTTTTCTCTTCTCCAGGCATACAGCTCAGTGATATGGATCAAGACTAAGTCAGAACTCAAGATCTGGCCTATCGATTGGAGGAAACTGGCCACTGTTCTGGATACAATAGAATAAGAATTTTGAAAGGAATTGCATTAGCCTAAATGTGTCTGAACAGATCAAACAGCAGAAACTGAGGCCTGGGGGGTTGAGCCCCACACAATTCAGCAAAGTGAACCTTTGTTGGGAGGAAAGGGGGCACTTTTTCAGTGGCCATCAGAAAAGAACTGAATAAGGAAATGGCAACTTCTGTTGCCACCAAGACAGCTTGGAAGCTGCGTGAGTGTCTTTCATAGTGTTCTCTTGTCCTTCATTAGATTTCTCTATTTGAAAAAGGGGGAAGGGGAAGAGAGAGGCCTCTTGTTCTATTTTGTGGTATGAATGAAATTTCCCCAGGGAACTACCCACTCCCTTTCTAATGTGACAATAGAGCACTCTTTTAAAATTCAGGGGTCTGTTTGTGGATGGAGGGCAGAGAGAGAATTGTGGAAGGGCATAGGGCATCCTCTGAACATCCAGCCAGAGTGACTTAAGGACATAGCTAGAGATCGGTCTAGGGGATACGTTTCTTTGGGATTTGCAACGATGATGATAGGGCATCCTCCTTTCTGTCTTCAATTCCTGTTGTCTGAGGTTTTTTTGGACATTAAATCTCTCTTTTTCTCTAAATTTCAGGTCTGTAACAACCTGCTAATTCTCTAATATAATATAAGAACAGCTGGTGAACAGGTTGGAACGCTAATAAAGCCAAGCCTGCCTTGGAGTGTTCCACTTGTTTAATGTCAATATTCTTTTTGGATTGCTCTCTGTTGCTGCCTCTACCATCGCTATAGGTACAGTAGGTTCTTGGATCGCTGCAGGAAGGGTGCTGGGATCATTACAAGATCTTTATGTCTCTGGCTTCACCATAAAAGGTTCACGAGAGGGAGTAAACGTCTGTTTTTAATTGATCTTTTCTCCAAAGAAAAAGAGTGGCAAAGCAGCTCCTAAATGTCAAAAAGAGAAACACAGAAAAATGCTTCTCCTGCAGATGTTGCAAATTTTTTGTGAGATGTCAGAAGATCAATAGAACAAGTAGGAAGTAGTTGATTATCCACAAATGTGCATTCCAGGCTGAGTATTTGAGGCCCAGAACTGGATTAGTGAGAATGTTGCCCATCTGGGTTGCTGTATGTTTAATAGAACTGTATTAATAGAGTTAACTGGTGTATACGATCAAAGGCTGTATAGCACTATATACCTGGCATCAGTTGGTTCTTCTATTCAGTTTCACAATCAGAAAAAATGTTTTTCTTACTCTCCCCGTCACCACCACCGCCCCCCAACACCCCACCCCCGCTGAAGTTCACAGATTACTGGAAAAGACAGCACTTGGTCCGTTTCAAATCTCCATCCCATTTCATTCGGCAACCGTGCCCATGCTGTTGATCTTTAATATCACTATTTCCTACTTCATTTTAGCTCTGCCTTCAGAGTAGTAATCACTCAAGTGCTAGGAAAGAGGTGTAGCCAGGATAATTAGGGCCTTAAAGGTTGCTGAGCCAATGTGTAGTTCCTAATGAGAGAGCATTTTATGAAAGGGTTTGTGGGCTTAGGGAAATCAGCACTTCAGAGAGAGAGGGTTCTGCTTCCAGTTTTTGAATGTTGGCATAAAATTATCATCTGGCATTTATTGAGGGGGTTGAATGCTTCAGCAATGACTCTTAAAAATTGTAAAAAATTATTAATAAAAGATAAAGGGAGGCTATGCAAATGTTCACATTTCACAACAACATTCAGTACTTGCACCACCCAATCTTAAATAGTCACTATTCGTCCCTTAATACCAAAGGAGGATTTATGTAACTAGTATTGTATGTGCCTTTGAATTTCATGTGTTGACACATGCTCTGGTTTAATATTGTCATTTAGTAGAATATTGGTCTTTCATTAAACTGCAAGTACATCCTCAGCAAATGTCCCTTTCTCATTTAATTAATAACCTAATTACAACTGAAACATGAAAGATGTTTCTCTAGCTAATGTGAAAGTTATGTGGTTTCGCTTTCTGTAACGTGCTTTGAGATCATCAGATCAGAGGGCAGGAACAATTGCATACTCTTTGAAGTCTTGGAATATTAGTGTCACTTTTAAAAGTGAGCTGCTTCACACCCAATTATCAGAACGAAGGCTGGATTGGTTATTAGCTAGCATTTTTACAAATGTTTCGTAACCATTTCATAAACAAATCTAGCTGCCTTTAAAAGACAAGAACTTTTTAGCTTTGATATTAAAGAATTGGTAAATGCATTTGGCAAAAACTTAACAATTTGGGTGCATTTTAAAGTGCCCTTTAATGTAAAACAAATGCAGATCTGGCTGTTTATAGTGGGACGTCTCCAGAGTCCACCGGGGTCCTGGGGCTATCTTCTCCCCCAGCCTTTATGAAAAGCTACTTTAAAAAAAAACAAAAAAAACACCTTTTTAATTCTACTTCCTTATTCAACCTCTCTAAAGCATATCTATGTCCATCCCTCCAATAGGGACATCTTTTGTCACTGCCCCCAAACTAACTGTATTGCTATGCTTCACCTACGTTACATGCTGAGAATACAGGCAAAGGCTCTGCCAAAATTCAAGTAGAAGGGAGCTCCGCCCATCCCAGGTGCCGAGTCTTAATTTCTCGGCAAGGTAGCACGTGTGACTGCAAACCTGCAAGTTTGGCTCAGATAGGACAGTGTGAACTTCTGCTACTGTCCAGAACAATATTAGGGAGCCTTTCTCTAAATGATCGGTGGCTGCTTTGTACCATGCCAACTTCTGAGACCCTTCATCTGGCCAGGAGAGTTCACACAGGTACAGATGATGAACTAGCTTCCGTAAGGAATGTGCTGGAACCAAGCAAATTCTCCTTTTAAAAGCTACTGAGTCACTATTAGTAAGATAAGATAGTCACTGTGAACCACACTGAGACTAGAGTGGGATGATGAAGGTTGATTGGCATATATCACCAAGCATAGCAGATAGGGCCAAGAGGGGCTGCTGCAAACAAGATAAGTAAGTAGCGGGGCTTCTTATCGGAACTCTAGGTTACTGCAGTTTGCGCAGTGAAAACTGGGAAGTCTTTCCCAGTGGATTACTAGTCTTTCAGGAGAGAAATTGTGTATCGTACAAATACTTGTTGTGACTGTTTGTTTGCTTTGTCTTGTGCAGAAGAGATCACGGCTCACAGCAGCAACGTGTCCTCGCTGGTTCTGGGCAAAAGTTCAGGTCGGCTGCTGGCAACTGGCGGAGAGGACTGTCGGGTCAATATATGGTCTGTTAACAAGCCCAACTGCATCATAGTAAGAGTTGGCTGGTTTTTTTTTTAATTTGCTTGTGGGTAGGTTGTGGGAGGAGGCAATTGGTCTGCATAGTTAGAGCCAGAGAGAGTCTGGCAATGTCATAAATCCTCCAGCTAGGTTTTACCAACCCCTCTCGTCTGCTTTGGAGTGCTACAAAGCTATACTGGGACACAAACACAGTAAGGTAGCTTTGGTGGACTAATGTTGTCCAGCAGCCGCACACAGTTTGAAAGTGGCTTTGTCCCTTCAGTTCACATGACTCTGAACCAGCTATACCTCTCCTCCTATGCCCTGCTAAGGCCCAACTGTGTGACAGTGGCCTTCAAAGATGACAAGGGTCTAAAATGAGTGACATTTTAAAAAAATGGAAATTATTAATTTCTTCAATGTGTACATTTTTCTATTACCCTAGTATCTTGATTCATAATTCATACTGGGGAGATCACCAGCTGTGTGGGGAGCAGAGGTAAATCACTCTAGTAAGTGATATCCGTTCAGTGAGGTGGTAGGAACAGGAGAAATGTTTAGGAGGAGTTCACAGTTAGCTGAATATGTGGGGCAGGCAATAAGATGCCCTCTTTCTGTGTCCCCATAGTTTTCTCATTCACCCCCAAATTAAACTTGTAATTCTTAATTCTTTCATCCCTCTCCATTGTAGGCATTTCTTCTTTTTCCTTTACTCACCTTTTCTTCTTTACGCTTGTCCCCTCCTCCTCGAGTCTTCTCTCCAAAATGTTACCTATTTTATTGTTCCTCTCCATCTGTCACTCTTCTTTTCTCCTTCCTCTTGATTTTCCACTTCATCTCCTTTACCCCATCTTCTCTCTCTTCCCCCAGTCTAGCACTGGCTTGACTCAAAAAGGTTTTAAAAGGTACATTTGCACTGGTTCCTTCCTCGTCCTCCCACTGAAGACAGGCCAGGGCAGGTAATGGAGTCTCCCACTGAATACTTGAAGATCTTCATGACATGTGGGGTTTGAAGAGAGCAGCCCTCCTGCCCCTGCACAGTTCTTGGTTTTGTGTCTCGTGTTCAGTGAGAGGGCAGACATCACCTCTCTCTGTAGAGTAGCTGAGTTGTGGCTGTGGGGTTGGGGGAAAAGATATCATTAGCTCATAGCACATCAGTGCTACTGAGTGCAGGGTGACCAGAGTCTTGTTTCCAGTGAAGAAGGAACAAAATCCTAGTTAGTAACTGACAGGAACTGTCTTTCAAAACAAGGGCAATCCAGCATGTCTGGCTACCTTTAACATCCGTCCTAGCATTTGCTCAGACGATACATATTGGGCTTGCTGTTGTTTGCAGCATGCAACTATTACAGGGTTGCAAACTATTAAAGGCTTAGTTTTAGGATAGGCTTGTCTTACAGATTAATATTCAGGGTGGTGAGATTTGTACCTTGGAATTGGGGCACATCCTAGGCCAGGCTGCACTCTCAGTTGCATCATATCTACGGCTGCATGTTTTATTTGCCTCTGCATAAAACTGTGTCAGGATATTGTGCTGATTTGGCCATAAGCTGGGCAGGGAGAAGCTGTGTGCAGCATGTTCAAATGCACTATAATAAGAGTAAAGCTACCACAATAATGTGAAATGATCTTGAGCACATGCCAATTATAAAGGCAGCTAGCATTTATCTGTGCTGCATCCTGCTTTGATGTTTGATTTGGATGTAGGGGACACTTGGTGTGGTAGGAGAGTTGAGTTGAGAAAGATAGAAGGAGGAAGTTTTCACTTCATTTCACACACACAAACACCCATTCGTTTGAACTGGCATCTCTCAGGAAATGTGAAGAGGACTAAGTAGATACAAGAAATCTCTATCCCTTATTGGCAGTGCTGTTTCCTTCCCATAGGCTTTTGCAATGTCTCTGGAGGATCTGCATGGTGATGTCAGAGCAGTGTGAAACCAGGGCACTGGTTTCAGTTTAGTCAGCAGGGGCATAAGATTCAGCATCTCTTCACTGCCCCCCACCCCCCCCCCAATTGAGGGCAGAGAGAACTGCAGCACTAGATTTGGACTGTTGTGATGTCACCATCCAGGCTTCTGCACATTTGCCTGGGTTTTCCAGGGAAGAGAGAGAAGTCAGAACCTAGTATTTCTAGTGTTTTTGTTGTTTTTAAAAACAAAACAAAAGACGGGTTTTATTTGATGGGGGCAGGGGAATCGCTGTGATTTTACTGCTTTATGGTGTATAGAGATGTTCTCAATGGGATTTTTGTTTGCTTTGAAGTTCACCTTTAGTACTTGATTTTTTAGGACCCCCAGTACCCTTGGGGAGAGGGGAGGCAAGTGACTTACAGCTTTGTGACCCCTGATTTGAGTCCGAGTTCTCTGTTGCACACAAAACGTTAACAGTTGCAATATTATAGAAAAGCAATCCCAAGCAAAAACTGCAGAAAGATCCAGGTGGGTTTTAACTTGTCACTCCCTGGTGTTACCTTAATAAATGTGAAGGGTGGAGAGAGCTGGATTGAATTTTTCAAGGGAGCCATTCTAAGGACAAATAAAGGAAGAGTTTGGATTTGGAATAATAAGCATCGCTTAATGGTACTAAAATACCTATAACAGCACATATTAACTAATTATTATGCACATATTAATTTGATTATTGGAACAACTCCTTATTTTTGTGTTACGTGTTTTATGGCACGGGCATTTTAACTAAATGGTTACTTATTGCACAGTATCTATACAGTCAAGTTAAAAGCATTTTGAGATCCTTGAGAATGAAAGGCACTGTGTACATGGCAGTAGCTGTTGCATCAAGCTAATGCTGCAGTACTGTTGTAGCACTGTTGGTGAGCAGCCAACGCTGGCTAGTAACGTGTACTTCTTTGCTTGTGAGAAGGCTTTCAGATAGTCCTGCTTATGCTATAAGGACAGCTGTGGTTTTGTATGACAGTCATCTGACTCATTTACAACAAACCTGGTGTAGTTGTGTCTATACAGCATATTTTTCACTGCACATGCATGTGCTGACCTAATTTATACATCCACACCTACTGCTTGACTACCCGTGTTTGTGTCGGCACGTTCTGAGAAAATCTGGGCAACTATCTCATAGTGCCTCAGCAAGAGATACAGTGCTCGGGGGATATGCGCGCAGAGTGACACCAGCCGTACTTGGCAGGGGCTGAGGGAGGCAATGCATCTTAGAATGTTATACCACACTGAGAGCTGCCAGGAGGGAGGACCAGCCAAATTGGCTGTGCGGTAAGGAGGTCCTGCCTGTTGCAAAACAGCATGCCAAACCAGTTACAGGATAATACCATGTGCCCGCATAGGACTTTTCAGAGTTGCACCTCCAGTCTGCTGACTGCTACTGTTGACTTTCCTTGCAGAGTTTGACAGGCCATACCACACCAGTGGAGAGTGTGAGGATCAATACAAATGAAGAGCTCATTGTTGCAGGATCCCAGTCAGGATCCATTCGAGTATGGGATCTGGAAGCTGCCAAAAGTAGGTTTCCATTCTCCTTTGCGTCTTCCATTTAAGTCAGCAGTGTGTGAGCACAGCAGGGTGGTACAAACTTTTGGGAAATCCCTATACCACATATCCCCATTGACCTGGAGAGGTCCTGACTAGGAAGGTCAAAAATCTGGATAGGCCCTTATCGACTGATAGTGTTTCCTTCAGCTCAAAACCAGTATTGTTAGAATGCTTTGGAGTGTTCTACTGAAGCTGCATAATGCACGTATACATTTGAACAGTTATAAATGTACACATGGGGTTTGTGTGAATGTACATAGTCTCATGTTGAGCCTGACTTAAGAGGCTGGATGTTTAGGAATTTGGCCTGTGCATTTCTGTCATGTTCATGTGCAAGTCGTCATTGTAGGACACCTGCCAGGAATCTGCAGTAGATGAAACATGGTGCATTATTAGAGCGTTGATGGTGGAAGTCATGCTCTTGAGTCTAGTCAATTGAGGGCGCATTTTATAGATACAAAGTTAATATAAAAAGAAAAGGAGTACTTGTGGCACCTTAGAGACTAACCAATTTATTTGAGCATAAGCTTTCGTGAGCTATAGCTCACGAAAGCTTATGTTAGTCTCTAAGGTGCCATTATCGCTCACGAAAGCTTATGCTCAAATAAATTGGTTAGTCTCTAAGGTGCCACAAGTACTCCTTTTCTTTTTGTGAATACAGACTAACACGGCTGTTACTCTGAAAGTTAATATAATAGCCATTGAAGTGTCACTTAAACGTCTCAGCCAAGAAATACATTTTTCCGGTTTCCCCTCTATGCATCTTCTTGTGGCTTGCATTAATGTTTGCTAACTGCATTACCATGTAAAGCAGGGTCCCTGGAACAGTCCATTTAGTGCAGTTTCTTTGTTTAGCGGAAGTCGACTCAAAAGCATTTCTATGAAATGATGTACATGTCAGAATTCAGAGGAACTGCACCTGCATTCCTCTGCCCTTGGTGGACCATGGAGCCCACTCTAGGCTCCCAGCTCCTCAGCTGTCACTTCTCTTGGGCAAAGACCCATGTGTTTCTCCCCTTCTGACTGGGGTTTTTCCGGGCTGTACAGTTCCCTGCCTATACTGTGATATGCCCAGCAAACCAGAATGTTACTGTTTTGCTATTTTGCCGAAGGCTATGAACAGCTCTAATTACTAGCTGTTATAAGTTATCAGCCCTTTCTAGACCAGCACATTTATTCTTAAGATGAAAGCATTAGAGAAAAGGTATTAAAAACAAGAAAAGAACCTACACACATGCTAATAGGTGCCAGACATCACCCCCAACTCCAGCAAGGGCTCTGGGAGGAGTAAGTCCTTCAAACCCCACCAAGGGGTGGTTCTGTGTTTAAACAGCCTTAGTTCAAAACTAGCACACCCGTGAATAAATCAGTCCTTCCTTTATACAGCTTGAGCCTTTGATCTTGAGACTCCTGGAAGGGATAATCAGCAGACAATGGCCCCTCCTCAGGGCACCACTTCAAAAGGCTGGGTGTTTGTATAAACAGAGATGGGGAATTTGTATTCGACTCCACAGGCAAACGGTTTGTCCCAAAAGTCCATTCTTGTCTGGCACATCATTTAGTACAGTCCAAGGGTGGCCAAACTACAGCTTGCGAACTACATTCTGCTCTTTTACAGTTAACGTGTGTCTCACTGAGCCTCTCACGCCCCCTCATTCTCTGCCTCCCAAAGTGGGAGAGGGAGCTTGGGGCTTCTGCTCTGTGATGGGGCTAGGGGCTTCTGCTAGAGACGACTGGTGCCTGCTGAGAGTGGGGGGGCAGAATTTAAAGGTTTGCCCCCCAACAGCCTGAGTCACGCATCCCCTCCCTGCAGATCCCACGTGTAAGCTCCTTGTGGCGAAGCAGTAGCAAACAGCGGGGAGCTGCCTGGAGGGGCTGCTGCTTTAGTTCCACGGGAAGAGGCAGTAGCAAAAGTAGTGACTCTCCCTGCTGCTGCTGCTCCCCACAGCCACGGCTCCCAGCTTGACAGCTGCAGCAGCTGCTGTGCAGGGAGGGGGCCCAGCAGCACCATGTGACTGAGTGGGGTCAGCAAATCCTGGCAAAAATGGGGGGGAGCACATGACTCCACATGTCCCCCTCCAAACATCACCTGCCGGGGCTCGGGGCTTCAGCTGCCACAGGGCAGGCCTGCTGGGGCTTGGGGCTGCAGCCGCCGTGGGGCAGAAGCCCCGAGCCCTGGCAGGTGCACCCCAGTTCTCGAACGTCTGAAGATTGTTGTATGTGACTCAGAGGGCCAGTAAGTTTCGCCACCCCGGTATAGTCCTCTGAAGTTCATAACACTTCCTAGGGTTCACATTCCATGTCCCACCTAGATAGAGATTACGTGCAGTCCCAGCCCGCAGTAATACATCAACCATTTATTTAATATGATGCACCCCAGACATCCTTAAACTTGATTCAGTAAGGTCTGCCAAAAGATATTGCAGAAAAATACCATATCTGTCACAGTATATAGATGAATAAGCTGTGCACAGACTGGCCAGTATACAATATCAGTGTGTATTTAATGGTAAGTGGCAGCATGGCTGGACTTGTGGATTGTCTGTGGGAAAATTAGCACTGACTAATAGGGTTTTTCCTCCCTCTCTGTGCTGCTACTTTCTTTCCAGTTCTTCGTACATTAATGGGTCACAAGGCAAATATCTGCAGCCTTGATTTCCATCCTTTTGGAAGCTTTGTGGCTTCGGGGTCCCTGGACACTAACATCAAGGTAAGGCCAGTCTTTTCTGGAAGTACCCTCTTCATCCCCTGTGCATGTGTATCAGAGTACCATGATTGTTTTGACAGCAAAAAAGATTGTCCTGTTGGAGGTTTGTAAAGTATCAGTTGCATGTGTGTAAGGAGGTGTGTTCATAGATGCTTGTGAAATTCCTGCTTGTATTCTTATAGCTGAAATTTATCCTAATAATAGGAGTCTGGTTCATCTCTTAGGGTTTATGGTTTATTTCTCAAGCCTCTTGGTGTTAGATGCCAAATTAAATCTGGTGTAAGCAAGTGTGATTACACTGAAATCAGTGGAGCTACACCTGCTTATAGCAGGTCTGCATTTGGCCCTAAGAATTTAGCTTTCATGGTATGAAATGTCTTGCCAGCCGTCTCTCTTCTGAACACTTCAAGTTGCAACTTGACTCCAGGCCATTCCTACATGGGCAGGGGGAGGGAGGGGTAAAGAAATATACTTTGCATGGGCTTGTGTTTTAGCAGCCCCTTTAGCTGCTGGGCACCTGTCCCATAGCTATTCTACAGTACTTATGGGCTCTGTAGTAGGGAGACCTGTCATTCTGTTATGACTTTCAGGGTCCTTCATAACTGTGGTTCTAAGCATGTTTTTTGTTGCTCTTTCCTGTAGCTCTGGGATGTAAGAAGAAAAGGCTGTGTCTTCCGGTACAAGGTAAGGTGTGCTTCACTATCATTTGGGGGAGGGGAGAGGAGATTCTCTCTGACTTATGCAGGAATCGAGATGGGATCACCTAGAATTAATTTATTAATCCCTTGGTATTGGAAATTGGACTGATGTGACCTGTGAAGTCCATGCAATGAAAATGAATGGCCTGACCACTTGTACAGAGCCTGATTGGATAGAGAGGCTGCAAGAAATGGTTAACATAAGAGTAAATGTACTATGTGTTGTCAGTGACAATGGTGCTTACAGAGCATCCCATGAGTGAGTGTGCAGTGGAGTGATGCATTGCCCTTGTGCTGGAGACATGAATTGTTCGTGTTCTGCAGGGTGTGACCGGGGTCCCAAGGAGCTACACTGGAGTTACTCAATTAGAGTGAACTGCAAAGAATGGGGCAAACAATCCCCAAAGCTGGTGGATATTCCAATACTTACGTTTATCAAACCAGCACAAAACAGCTTCTGTAATACCTTACTGGTTACCCAAAAGCCAATAACACAGTTCCCTTAAAGCCACCCAGCCTTAGGCCTCCACCCAGACACCCAAGTCAAATATGATGAGGATTACTGAAAATCTTATTCATCATATAAGAAAGTTCTACTAATCCCAAAGGATTGGACACATTACCTCCCAGGTTAATGAATACTCCAGATCTTACCCAAATACACACTACAGGCAATTTTTATGAACTAAACTAAAATTTATTTTAAAAAAAAAAGAGAGAGTATTGGTTAAAAGATCAGTATACATACAGACATGAGTACAGTTCTGTGATCAGATTCATAGTAGAGATGGTGAGTTTTGTAGATGCAAAGAGTTCTTTCAGAATTAGTTCATAGGTTATAGTCCAATATCCATATGCAGGGGGAGTCCAGGTTAGGACTGGAGATCTCAGCCTTTTGGCTTAAGCTGCCCCTGCATGAAGCATCAAGCAGATCTGAGATAAAAAGTTTCAGGACCCCAGGCATTCTTATACAGTTCCAGGTCTTCCTTGACAGCTCAGAGTCCTTAGGCAAACAATAGGCAATCGTGGATACTTTGAAATAGATCTATTTCCTAAGCATCTCCGGTAATTAGCTATACGGATTAACATAAGGCAATTGCCTGTTTTTTCCACCATTGGCAGGTGATTCACTATACATTTCAAAGAGAGATGAATACAGTGATATTACTATGTTTATAGTTCATTTTAATGTTAAGATGTCCTTTTAATCTCTGAATCAATAGCTATAGTGATAGACAGGAACTGTCTGTTTATCTGGCTAACATCTGACAGGATATAAGTACACACATACAATTAGTATCACCTCCAGTTCTCTAACAATACAGGTTGCGTTTCAAAGTTCTAGCCTATCTAACATGGGATGGCCATAATTACCATTCGCATACTTTTCTAACATGTCCCTAAAGGTTGCATCTGGGTCATTTATCCTTCAGGATGCTTAACCCTTTCTGGCCATGCGTCACACTTTGTATAAGTTTCGTTGCAGTTATATAACAGATGTAGCAACAATGATTTGTATGGTCGTATTCTAATTAGATAACATCACACAGGGACCTTCCATGTGAGCTTTGCCACCATACTATGGAATCTTTCAAACTGTAATAAACATTACTTGATTTCATTTTGTTACAAGCACAGAATAAAATGGAAAGAGGAAACTAGGATTTCCTCCTAAGGGCACAATGAAGGTGCAAACCCATTGCAAGCTGTATGTGGTTGTATTTTTTTAGGGTCACACACAAGCAGTTAGGTGTCTCCGATTTAGTCCTGATGGGAAGTGGTTAGCATCCGCTGCAGATGATCACACTGTAAAGGTATGATATTCATTATCAAGAGTGTGGCAAGAGCCGTTCCTCCTTGTGGCATGTGGAAGGGCAGGGGTACTGTTCTTTAATTTGTGTTGCCAGTTCTCTACCCCACCTACTCCAGCTCACTTCGCAGTGATGTGAGCCCCTTAGCTTCATAGGGTAAGTCTCTGAGCAGGGACCATTGTCCAACAGTGCAAAACAGCCAGAAATGAGATGTGGCTAAGTGAAATATAATTCCTTACTGTCCAACACACAAGAGTGTCCTGCCTCTAAAGGTTGAGGGTACATTGACTGCCAGGTGAGGTGAATCTGAGGCTGAAAATGAAAGCTCAGCCAGTTGGATGGTTAAGCATGTGCACTTTCCAAAGAGCTGTCAGGGACACAACTTGCCAAATGCAGAGAGAATTCAGCAAAGTATCTGTTCTAGCAGCAACTCTTCAATTTCTTCTGCTGTGGTATGGAGGGCTCTGGGCAAGAAGCTGGCTTCATTTTCAACCTCCGTTCAGATGAGCAGGTCAGTCATTGCACCCAAGATTTATAAGTGAAGACCAGATGATGTGAAAAGTTAAACCCTACAGGTAAAATAACATATAGCACATCATGACTTAAAAAACCTCTTATTTTAGCTACTGAAACCCCCTCTAGTGCCACTGTATATTCTTGCCAGTCTTCAACAATGATAGAGGTTCTTTGACAAATCTCCAAATAAAAACAAAACTGGAAATAACCCTCAGTCTGATTAGAACTCTCGTGGCCCTGGTCATTACCTGCCAGAGGCAGGCTTGTGGGCTAGCTAGCAGATTTCCAGTGGAGAACAATCCAGGGTAGACGCATCCTCTCTCAAGCCTGACTGTTCTTTCCTTCTTCCAGCTGTGGGATCTGGCGGCTGGGAAGATAATGTTCGAGTTTACAGGACATACAGGCCCAGTAAACGTTGTTGAATTTCATCCCAATGAATACCTCTTGGCCTCCGGCAGCGCTGACAGGTACATGCAGGGAAAGAAAAAGCAAGATGTTTATTCATCTGCTCCTGTATTGGTCTCCACCCTCCTGGGAGCATTGCTGTTCATGTAGGGGGCGAGACATTCCCACCACTGGAGGAGCTGGACAGTTGCACTGCAGATTGCAAATGTGGTATGATTCCATGCAGATCCTACCATGTTCTCCCAAAATCTAGTCGCAACTTCTGTCACACTAGGAATCAACGAGCTAGACTTGAGTCGAACACTAATGCAGCCACAGCAGGCAGCCTGTCCCCACTGAGTCATCCATGGCTTTGGGTCAGTGCTAGATACCTATGGAGCCAATAAGCATCTCCTTTTGCATCTGTGGCTGGATCCAAATTCTGCTTTAGCGTTATTACCTACTGTTGGGGGGGGTCATCATTAGCACACAGCAATAAACTGCAGTAGAAAATACTGTTACATACTATTATAACGGTCTGGGTCTCTGGCTTTCTAGAATTACAGCTATTCTTTCCTTTCATTCTTTGTGCTTACAGGACAGTCAGATTCTGGGACTTGGAGAAGTTTCAAGTGGTGAGCTGCATTGAAGAAGAGGCCACTCCTGTCAGGTACATTATACTTGTACCATAGTGAGTTCGGTAGCGACCTAGCATATGGGTTCGGCCTGGTTAAAAGGCCAAGTTCTCATTAATGGGACACTTTGCTAAGGAAAGTTCATGCTGCTGAAGTTGAAGCTCTAGGACACTTATGGCACTTGTCCCTGGTGTTCTGGTGAAGTAGGATGTTCAGCCCTGGTCTCCTTCAAAGACTATCTGAGTTAGTAAAGTCTTGGATAAATCTTGGTCTCTTTCCTTTTCCAGGTGTGTTCTTTTCAACCCAGATGGCTGCTGCTTGTATAGTGGCTACCAGGATTCACTACGTGTGTATGGCTGGGAGCCTGAGCGCTGCTTTGATGTGGTCTTGGTGACCTGGGGAAAAGTGGCTGACTTATCTATCTGCAACAACCAGCTGGTGAGTTCCCCTTCGTGAATTGGAGAGAAGAGTCTGAGAAATACCAAATAAATATTCCCTGGGCTGCTTACTGGGCCTCTGACTTCTACAGACTGGCCGTGTTAGGCTGTCACAGCTCATAGTTGGCCATGGTCAGTCTTAATGCTGGTACCATGCTCCTCAGCAGGTCTCAGAATGACGGATAAACATGGGGCAGCATCGTTTTCTCCTTGGATCATTGCTTGTGTAGTTCCACGTGCTGCTCCCTCTTACCCCGCTCCACGTCTGTCTGGCTTCCTGAGGAACAAATGGGTGGTAGTTGGGGCTCTAGTCCCTTTTGCACCCTGGAGCTTGGCTATTTGATACCATGAGCATGTGGCCCAATGGAGAATACTAGCTAGAAAGATTTGAGCCCCAGTGCCAAGAGCACAACTGTATGCAGACAGCTATCATGAAGAAAACCCTTAGCAGTAGTGGCCTTTCTATCCCATCTAACAGGTAGGGCGAGAATAAGAAGGTGAGGTGACATGACAAGCTTTAAGTCTTAGTGAAGTATTGTCAGAGCCATGGGTTGGATCTAGGTTTCCTAAGTTCCACTCTCATTCACGAGCCCCTCTGCCAAGCTGCTTCTCTTTTTCACTAGTGCAGCTGTTTAGCATACGCTCATAGTGCCCTTTTTCTGCTTGCTTTAACCAATGTCTGATCTGTTAGTTAATGCCCTTTGACACATTCTCAGTAACTTTCCCTGGTAGATTCTTCCATACCTTGCTTATGCTCCCAGTTGCTAAAGGCCCTTCTGGTCACTGTTTTGGGATAACACCACAGAGAAGCCATTCAAAACAAGTTATGTAACTGATTTAAAGGAGAAGAAACCCTAAGTCCAGCCCATGGGACCTCAGCTTAGAGGGGCTAACATTATACTGGACTCCTAACAACTTGCCTTATTCTTGCTCTTGGCAGATAGGGGTTTCCGTCTCGCAGAGTACAGTCTCCTCGTTCGTTGTGGACCTCAGCAGAGTCACAAAGTCTGGTTCTGGTCTTCATGGACCGATCAAAGATGATAGGCCTCTGGTTCAGCCCACCCCCACAGGGTCCTCCCTTCGACGCATCTATGACAGGCCATCAACTACCTGTAGCAAGCCCCAAAGGTAAGGAAGAATCCGATGCGGGTGTGTGCTTCACAATTCCAAATGCTTTATTGGAAGGAGTGGAGAACTTAGTGCTCTTTCTCTCTAACATACCCTGCCAGTCTGCTCCTGACTGGGACTCTCTTATTGGCAGAGTGAAGCACAACTCAGAGAGCGAGAGGCGCAGTCCCAGCAGTGAAGATGACCGGGATGAAAAGGAATCAAAGGCTGAGATCCAGAATCCAGAGGATTACAAGGAGATCTTCCAGCCCAAGAATTCCATCAGTCAGTACCAGACTCTGTTCTGCTTTCCGGGTGGTAGCAAGGATTAGGGTTTGGAGGCTTCAGAATTAATTAATTAATGGGGCCGGATGAGTTGCATCCGAGAGTGCTAAAGGAACTGGCGGCTGTGATTGCAGAGCCATTGGCCATTATCTTTGAAAACTCGTGGCGAACGGGGGAAGTCCCGGATGACTGGAAAAAGGCTAATGTAATGCCAATCTTTAAAAAAGGGAAGGAGGAGGATCCTGGGAACTACAGGCCAGTAAGCCTCACTTCAGTCCCCGGAAAAATCATGGAGCAGGTCCTCAAAGAATCAATCCTGAAGCACTTACATGAGAGGAAAGTGATCAGGAACAGTCAGCATGGATTCACCAAGGGAAGGTCATGCCTGACTAATCTAATCGCCTTCTATGATGAGATTACTGGTTCTGTGGATGAAGGGAAAGCAGTGGATGTATTGTATCTTGACTTTAGCAAAGCTTTTGACACGGTCTCCCACAGTAATCTTGTCAGCAAGTTAAGGAAGTATGGGCTGGATGAATGCACCATAAGGTGGATAGAAAGTTGGCTAGATTGTCGGGCTCAACGGGTAGTGATCAATGGCTCCATGTCTAGTTGGCAGCCGGTGTCAAGTGGAGTGCCCCAGGGGTCAGTCCTGGGGCAGGTTTTGTTCAATATCTTCATAAATGATCTGGAGGATGGTGTGGATTGCACTCTCGGCAAATTTGCGGATGATACTAAACTGGGAGGAGTGGTAGATACGCTGGAGGGCAGGGATAGGATACAGAGGGACCTAGACAAATTGGAGGATTGGGCCAAAAGAAATCTGATGAGGTTCAATAAGGATAAGTGCAGGGTCCTGCACTTAGGACGGAAGAACCCAATGCACAGCTACAGACTAGGGACCGAATGGCTAGGCAGCAGTTCTGCGGAAAAGGACCTAGGGGTGATAGTGGACGAGAAGCTGGATATGAGTCAGCAGTGTGCCCTTGTTGCCAAGAAGGCCAATGGCATTTTGGGATGCATAAGTAGGGGCATAGCGAGCAGATCGAGGGACGTGATCGTCCCCCTCTATTCGACATTGGTGAGGCCTCATCTGGAGTACTGTGTCCAGTTTTGGGCCCCACACTACAAGAAGGATGTGGATAAATTGGAGAGAGTCCGGCGAAGGGCAACAAAAATGATTAGGGGTCTGGAACACATGAGTTATGAGGAGAGGCTGAGGGAACTGGGATTGTTTAGTCTGCAGAAGAGAAGAATGAGGGAGGATTTGATAGCTGCTTTCATCTACCTGAGAGGTAGTTCCAGAGAGGATGGTTCTAGACTATTCTCAGTGATGGAAGAGGACAGGACAAGGAGTAATGGTCTCAAGTTGCAGTGGGGGAGGTTCAGGTTGGATATTAGGAAAAACTTTTTCACTAGGAGGGTGGTGAAACACTGGAATGCGTTGCCTAGGGAGGTGGTGGAATCTCCTTCCTTAGAAGTTTTTAAGGTCAGGCTTGACAAAGCCCTGGCTGGGATGATTTAATTGGGTATGGGTCCTGCTTTTGAGCAGGGGGTTGGACTAGATGACCTCCTGAGGTCCCTTCCAACCCTGATATTCTATGATTCTATGATAATCAGCTCCAGGAGGAAAGACTGATCTTTGGCTAATTGGCACAGCCTGTGACTATTTGGAGTTCAGAAAACCTCTATTTAAAATTCTTTAAAACGGAACTCTGAACCAAGGGCTACATTGGCAACTTACTAGAAGGCTGTATCTAACTAGCATATGGGGAAGCAAACTGCAGCCTCTCGTTTGTAATATAGAGGTATGGCCCAGAAACCAACCGCTCCATCTTGAGCGGGATGCCTTTCTGGTCAGATCAAGACGGAGCACTGGATTGTTAGATATCTCTTTTCACTTAGAATTATGGCAGTAGGCACCGTACTGCACAAACCCCATAGTTTCCAAGGGTTCCCATTTAAGGTGGGTGGTTAAGTGTCTAGTCCAAAGCCCAGCTATGACCATGTAGAGGGTTAAATGGTTAAAATTATCTAAGCTGTCTAAGGTGGTGGTGGTAGTTATATTAACTTCCTTACTGGTGTAATTAATAATCCCTTATCTTTTTATACGTTTTTCTGCTTCACTAATCTAATTGATTTGTGAACATGTTGCCTGACTCTGCACTTTGCTCCTTTTGAATTATGGGAACGTATTGGTCTGTTTTGCTCCTCACAGCCACAGTGGCTCCAAACCTTCAGCTGAAACCCAACAATAACATTTAAACTCTAGAGGAGATAAGCCAGGCTTCGATGTCAGTAACTGTCCTAATCTGCTTAGTTGTTGTGAGTTACACCAGTCCCAAGGCTGCTCTGTGCTAATCTGTGGCCTTGGCTTTCTTTTTTCCCCCTTCTTGTAGCTCGAACTCCACCACCAAAGAGTGAGCCCTTCCCAGCCCCTCCCGAGGATGGTGAGTTGGGACTGTCCACCTGAATGCTGGGTGAGGGTGGGATGGGAATCAGGGGGGCAGGTGGCTGTTTCAACAGGATGCTCCTTGTCCAGAGAGATACATGACTTGTTCTATGTAATTCAAGTGTCTGAGTACCTCTGCTGAAAGCTTCTCCTGAAAGGGATAGAGTGTGACTTTTCCCTCCTCCCCTTCCTTCCTTCACTCCAGAGCCTGTTATCATAAAGGAAGCAGCAAAGCCCAGCCAAGTCGTGGACATTCAGACCCCACTGCCAAACCAAGAAAACGTATGTACCGTGTGAGCCATTAGGATCTTTCAACATCCCTATTCCCAATGAATTCCAAGCACTGGAGATTCTGGAATGTTGCTAATCATGCCAGTCCCTCCAGTGCACGTGAGTGGAGACCAGAAAGGGGGGAAACTGATCTGGGCAGGGCCAGGTGTAGAGCTCGAAGCCAGATCTCCAGTTTGGGTTCATTTACAAGCAGATTTTGACTCTGCTACTTTTAATTCTGTTTCCAGATTTCTAGTCTTGTCTCTGTTGGTGCCTCAGAGCCCCAGTGTGCATTGAAGAGAAACAGCTGTCAGATTTCACGGGATTCTTAGACCGTGGCTTCTTTGTATCTGAAGATTAACTGAGCCCCACAGGATGGGGCCTCTCCATTCACATTCAGGCGGCCCTAATGCCTTTCAGTGGAGTATCTCCATGCTCTTCACAATCATTAATTAAGCCTCACAACATGCCTCGGAGAGTCTCTCTCTCTCCTCCCCCCCCCCGCCTGCCATGCCAGCAAACTTTAGATTGCTCCAGAAGGAAGTGGGTGAGGGAGAGGGTGTGAGACCTGGGGCAGAGTATTGCTGCTGTAACTTCTATTTCACTTTCTCCTGCAGCCTGACCTGGTTCAGAGGCCACCAATAGCCTCCTCAACCCCTGTGACCAGAGCAGAGCCATCAGTGATTCCTGCAGCCAGGAATGCGCCCATTGGGCTGAAGGCCTCTGACTTTCTGCCAGTAAGTAACTAGCTTGCTCTAAAGCAGGAGAGTTAAGCAGGTGGTTTGGGAGTACGGGGTAGCAGTGCCGTAGGCCTGGATTGGTTGTGCTCGGTTGTGAGGTTGTATTGGTGCCATCTCTGACCACACATACTGCGGGATTTTCTTATGTTCAGCCTTGGCTTAGACCGCTAAAAAAAGAACACAGAGGGGACAAACCCTGTGAGACAGAGCTGGGATGTGGGGCACCCCTGCAATAGGGCTCTTCATACTGAAAAATAATCACTGCTCCATGGGAGATTCCATAAGCCTGTGTTTCAGATCATTGAATGTGGCCTCAGAGGAACACCACAGGTTTTGCCCTCCCTCTGCTCACGCCTTATCAGTCAAGGGACCCTCACACCCCTAACTACTGACAAGCTCTTGGTTGGTTGCAATTGCCCAGGACCCCATGGTGCTAGCTGCTGTACAAACACAGAACAAAAAGTCCCTGCCCCAAAGAGTTTACAGTCCAAATAGGAGACAAGTGACAATGGATGGATCCTGAGACACGGGAGCGCAAGGAAACAGTGAGACAATACAGGTCAGCATGATAGGCAGTGAGCCAGCACACAAGCTGCCTAACATCGGTCAAGTTTTTTTTATAGGTATTGCGGCAAGTGTCAGTTTGTCTCTAAATTATTTCACTTTCACCTTTGTCTCCCAAATCAGGGATGGCTCCTAGAATTTCCCAAGGCAAAAGTCCTTCCCAAGCCAAGGCACTCTTCTGATACCAAACTAGGAACATGATCAGATGAAAGGGAGCTTCCAGCTTGGCTTAGACAGAAGTCTAGTTAAGCCTCTAATTAAATCCACAGAGCGGTTTGGTGTGTGTTGGGTTTTTTAACTCAGGTTGGTTGAAAATGTTGTGATTGAAATTTTTTTATTGGAAATGGGGTTTGTCTCAAAACAAACTTTTTTTTTTCCCCCTCCTTTCCAGCATTTTGTAACTGTTTTCTAACAGTTGGAGTTGGGAAACAGCCAAAGGAGTGAGGGGAGAATCCACCCACTGTTAATTAGTAAAAAGGCATGAAAGATAGGTTTACCACCTTCTCTTCCTTTTTTTCCAGTGCAGGGAAGAGGGTGGGAGAAACACGCTGAAAATTAAAACAAACATTTTTCTGTTTGAAAGAAACAAACTGAAATATTTGAATATGAAACAGAATAAAAAAATTTTAATTAAAAATGTTCACTTTGGACTTTCCTATGGGAAATCAATGTTCTCCAGCTGAAAAATGTCAATAAAGACTTTTTTCTTGTGAAAAATTCCACCAGAAAGAATCCCATTTCTCTCCCAGGTCTAGTTTTCACTAGCTGTGTTCATTTTGTGCTTAAAACTTGCTGAGAACAAAAGTCCAAACTTGGAGAATATGAATTCTTTACCATGTCCCTATGCTGCCAGAAAGGTCAGACTCAATTACACCGAGATTCATTCTCGGATAGCCCATATTCCTACTGCCAAGGGAAGCAGGATTAGACCTAGGAAGGCTCCTCTTTATCCACTTCCCACAGTCTCAGACCACAACATCTTATTCTGCTGTCACCAATCAGTTGATGTTTTCTCTGTACCTCAGGCTGTGAAAAACCAAAGCCAATGCGAGATAGTGGACGAGGAAGCCATGTCCCAGATCCGTAAAGGCCATGAGACTATGTGTGTGGTGCTCACCAGCCGCCACAAGAACCTGGACACTGTGCGAGCGATGTGGAGCACTGGTGACATAAAGGCAAGGAAGTGGGATTTACTGGCATTTAGGGACAGGTCAGACTTACTCTGTGGGGTGGAGGTAGGACAGCAATTGGACAGGCCATCTCAGCTTGCGCAGAACTGGCTCTGAACCCCCGATTACAGGAAGATGATATCCAAGCATCGGTTCCTATCATTGCACCTTGGTATGCTGTTTCATTCTTTTTATATGATTCAAAAGAAATGTGGAATGAACTGTAGTGTGGCTGCAATTGGAACTAGAGTAGCTGTGAGCTTCTCTGTTTCCTACATAAGGACCCTTGTGTGAATCAGTGGGTGTGTTGCTAAGTGTTAGGGTGGCTAGTGGCAGCATGCTCTTCTCTACTCTATTACCATGTCCCTGTGCCTGGTATTTAGAAAGTGATTCTCATAATGTTTACATGGGGTCTGTTAGTGTAAGCCTCACACTAACTTTTCTCTACCTCCTCTCCCCTTGTCTCAGACATCTGTGGACTCTGCTGTGGCTATCAATGATCTCTCTGTCATAGTGGACCTACTGAACATTGTCAACCAGAAGGCGTGAGTATTTGCAGCTGTTGCATCTGTGTAAGAATGTGTCCAGTAGGTACCTTCTACGCTCTGTGGTTGCTTTATCTGATATTGACTAGACATATCCTAACATCCACTCATCTCCTATATTGGGCATATGGCCACCAGTGTAAGAGCAAATGCATTTTAGTCACGTCTTTGAGCCTGCAACACTAGTGATCAGGTCTTTGGCACTAGTTCTTGCAGTGCCTTCATTGTTAGCAGTTAATGTCTCATCAGGAAAATGAGTCTTGTAGAAGAACTTCAGCCAGTTCTTCAGAATCCAACCAGAAATGACCAGAGCTGCTATTATGCCACTTTCCATCAAAGGTGGAGTGAGTGAACTCAGTCAGCAAAGCTCAGGCTGAACTGGCTGAGTTTTTTGGGTCTGAATGCATTATTTGTGTTGAATCAGAAAGCCCCCTGAGGCTTGTCTCCATTTCTCCTGGAGTGTGTTCTTTTCTTTTCAGGTCTCTCTGGAAACTGGATCTGTGTACTATAATCCTGCCTCAGATAGAGAAGCTCCTTCAAAGCAAATATGAAAGGTGAGGTGTTCAGGAAGCTACCTCCTTGGAGGACAAGCAGGTGGATAGTGGCATTCTTAGATGAGTTTCACTGGGTATTACACAGCTGCTCAGTAAAGAAAATACCAGAAAACCATGTAGGATACAGTTCTGCATAGATACATCATCTGGAAGAGAGAGGTGCAGTGGCCAAAGGTCAGGAGGAGCACAGGGAAACCAAGAAACGTGGAGGATAGGGTTTGCTTGGGGTGGGAGTTGTTACCCACTACAAGACGGACATTGAGAGCAGCAGATTGTTCTAGATATTTTGAATTGAAAGTAGCTATGGCAGAGCCAGGGAAGAGGTTGAGGCAGAATAGTTGGGCTTTAAACAATGACTGGACCAAAGGTTTTTTTGGAATACTCCACCTGGAATTTATAACTACGGTTGGGAGAGGAGATAGTCAAAGGAATGAATTGGAGTTGAGCATGTAGGACACTGGTTGAAATGTTTAGTCACAGAACAGGAGCACTTGGATAGGCAGGCGGGGAGCCAAGAAAGCAAGTTGCTCCAGATGGACCTGGACCTGGGAACTGGTCATGAGGCAGCCTCTGGGTCATTTTGAAGATCCTGTGTACTTCATAGACGCACAATAAAGAAATGCAGGATGTCCCTCAAGGAACGACTTCCGGCTTTTACTCTTCAACCATGAGTATTAGTGGGTTTTATGGAGATTGAGTTCTGAGGCAGAACGTTTCTGTGCTTGAACAGGTTGCTGAGCAGGGGTCAAATGTCAGAGTCTCTGAGAGTGTGGGCATAGTTTGTATTTGTCTGCTGTTTAGGCCCAGCTTCTGCTTTCCTTTCTCCTTCCTCTTATTAGCCCTTCTTCTCCAGGGGGGTCTTTTATGCAGGCTGGGGAGGTTTGTTTGAGGACACCAACCTCAGGACACTAAGTTGGTGAGTGAGCTGTAAGACACGTTCAGCCAGGTGGTGTAAATATGGGAGTGAAAGTCAAGTGACATCTGACCCTCTGTGTCTTTGTGTCAGTTATGTACAGACTGGCTGCACCTCCTTAAAGCTGATTCTCCAGAGATTCCTGCCACTGATCACCGACATTCTTGCTGCACCACCGTCTGTTGGGGTGGACATCACAAGAGAAGAGAGGTAAGGCACCCTAGCCGCTGCCACACCGCCTCCTGCCATACGAGCCCTCTCCTGATGTCATGGCATCACGCTGATTTTTCCTTTGGACAGTTAGAGGCTGGATGGATGCCCTCCCAGCCCCATCAGTCTTGCTCATGGAGTTAGAGGGGTTGCTGCAAAGCTATGCAGGGTATTCCTCCCCCTTCATGGGTAGCACCTGGCGTTAGGCGATGAAGGACCCTGCCTGAGAAGCAAATTCAGGCACTTGAGCTACTACTTTCTTCCCCCAACATGCGCAGTGTCCCACTGCTCCGGGAGCGCATGTGAATACCAAACAGCCACTGTCCTTTAAGGCTGTATTCCTTAAGTGACCGCCCACAACTGGCTTCAGCCTGAAATTGGGTTTGCAAGATTCCTCATTTAAAGTGCAGTTTTTCTTTGAAAAGTGGCTCTGTTGAAATGGCACTTCCTTACATCGCAAACTGGCTCCCTTCGGGGCGGGGAAACAAGTAGAAAAAGAGCTGTTGGCTCATAGCATTGATAGAATTTCAAACATCTACTCGCACAAATCCATTGATATTTCTGTCTCTTCGAGCCACAGAGATGCAGGCGTTCTTCCTCCTTCCCATCACATATTCCCAGGAACCCCAGGGAGTGCTTGCTGCGGATTCATGCCCTGTCCCTCTTCTTTCTTTGCAGGCTCCATAAGTGCAAACTGTGTTACAAGCAGCTGAAGAATATCAGCAATATCATAAAGAACAAGTCTGGACTGAGTGGCCGCCATGGCAGTGCCTTCCGTGAGCTTCACCTCCTCATGGCTGTCTTTGAGTGACAGCTGCCTCCGCCTCCACACACGCAAACACACAGGTTCAGTTAGTTCCATCTGTCTCACGCCGTGTCCATCCCTGTTCCCCAGAGCACAGCAGGGAACCGAAGTCCCCGCTGGCTACCTGCCTCACCTCTGGTGCCTTAGGAGCTGGATTGAAAACCTGATTTGGAGGTGTCTGTCCTGCATGTGGGAGGGGCCTGGCTGGATGAAGACTGCAGCAGAGCTAAGACCTTTCTCTGGTTCTTATGTGGAGCTAACTTAAGTTCAGCTCTTCATAGAACTTTTACCCAGCTCTTTCTCTGTTAGACCTCCTCCCTGGGGTGGGGCTCAGAATCAGCCATCACTCTGCCGTCTCCCATTCCCATACTCATCGTCAGCCCGCTTGTTACCTGACTACTCCAGCCACGGAGAGGCTGTGGATCAGACCAGCTGGAACACTTGAGTCTGGACCTGGAGGCCTGCTCTGTTTTTCCCTTCACAGTCAGATGAGCGATGGAATCCCTTTTCCAGGAGCTTCCCTCTGCTTGGGTATCGCCAGTGCAACACTGCGGGAGAGCTGGTTCTGGGCAGAGTGCCCCTTTCCTAGAGCGTGGACATGGCTAGTGCTTTTCCACTGGCGGCTGGGACTAGCCCCTTCCTTGGTGAACTTTTTCAGAGGATTTGAGTCAGGATATCTCACAGCACTAGTCCTGCTGGTGTCACACCTGACGTCTCAAGGCCCTGTTTCCAGTGGAGGTTGTCTTGTGGTCTGCCTGATAGCGGGGGTGCTTAAGATCCCTGTTAGTGGCTCTTGGCTGCGTAGCTTTAGTTATGTTAAAATCTAACTAGGAGTAGGTGGGGATGGGGCCTACATGATCTGTTTGTAAATGGAACTTAGCCAGGACTTGCCCTATGTGTTTGCCTTTGGGGAGGGTTTTGAGCTGGGAGTGTGTGGGCGGGTGAGAGGCAGATGGACACAGACCAACCTCTTGCTACACCCATTGGACTCTTAGAGATTTTTCAATAAATGACTGTCAGAACCTTTGTCCATTCTTGCTTCTTTCCTGTAGGGAAGGAGGCTCCTGTGCTGAGGGCTCCCTCCCCACCATTAATACGCTGGAGCCTGCTGTTCAGGAAACTAACTTATAATGAATTTTATTAAAAATTTGTAACTTATTTGGAAAATCGTGTTAAACGTTTGAGTCTCTAAACACCCAAAGCCCTGCCCTGTCCTCTGTCCTGCTGGGAACGTTGTGGTGAAGGCAGGGCTCAGCTTACTAATGTTTACAGTGGGAACCATACTACGGTCTCGTCTCCTGCTGTCCGATGCTGCTGAACCGTGTCAGTTTGCATGTCACGGCCAAGGTGCAGCCCCTGAATTTGGAGAGGGCACCAGCAAGCGCCTAGTTCAGATTTTACAGGACATCTTCACTCCGCTGTCTTATTCCATCCTAGAAGCTTTAAAAGAAATCTCCATTCACAGCTTGTCCTTGAATGGACCAGTTCCCATGTCTGACATGGATCTCCTTCTTTCCTGTGGCACAGTTAAGGTCCCACCTTTAGGGTTTTGATGAGGAACTTTGTCTGAATATTCCCTTGGGTTGCAGGCAGGGTGTATGATGTACAAGAACCAAAACCCAAACCTGGTTAACACGCTCACTGCCCAAGCTAAATGCAATGGAACCAGCATCAAGTAACCCAAGCCTTTCCAGCACTGCGTCTTGACAATGTAAGGGCTGGGAACAAAAGTGAAACCCATCAGTGTTTTATCCTCTGTCTTCCCCGTTTGCTGCTTAGCCTGAAGAGGGCCATAACTCTTACCTTTTGCTGGAGGTAACCTGTTCAGTGTGTTGTGCTGACGTGTATACAGCTGTGCACAGTGGGTGAGCTGTGCTTGAACACTTAACAGTTACCTGCCCTGAAGAATTTAGTCTAATGACCCAATGCTGCAACATGGGAGCAGACAGTACAGTCAGTGGGACTCCATGGGTGAGTAAAGCATGGCAGCTGCAGGCCCAGTGGTGCGCTCTAGGGCAAAATGAAGGGCTTGGTTGACAGAGGCGAATCCAAGTGTATGAGCAGTCTGGAAGAAAGCACAGAGCAAGCAGGGAGTGAAGAGGACCCAGGGCTCAGACCAGGAGCAAAGCCTGCATGTAACAAGGAGCAGAGGAGATGACTTGAGGACTCAGTGCTCTAATCCTGTATAATGCTTATGAAGGAGCAGCAGGCGTTTGTCATTCAGGATGGCTGTGCAGTGCAGAGTGCTGTGTGGGAAGCTTGCACAGCCACTGCCTGGAGCCAGTGGTTCAATTCCTTGCTTCCTTAAGCATGGCCTCCACACAAACTCTTTAAAGGTTACGTATTAACTGGCATCCTGCTTGCTTGCCTGCTGGTGAAACCTGCTCCATCATGGTCACAGGTAGAGAGGTTCTCTAGCCATAAAAGCACTCTAAGGGTGTATGGCCATGAAAGTGCTCTGATCCACACCTGTCAATGTGATCTTAAATTCATCCCCCTCTGGTCGGTCTTGCGCATTTACTGGGCCCTACAAGAATGGTCTGAGCAGTTCTCCAGTGCCTCGGTGTGAATAGCAATGGGGAAAGAGGTGTCAATGATGGCTCAACCTCTGGAGTCATAGAGCAAGACGCTTCCTGCTGTGGTGGTGGCTGTGGAAATCAGATCACGACCCCTAAGGAAAAGCAGAGCAGGGCTGAGGGTGAAATCTGTCCTGACGTTTCGGAGAGTAGTCTGGAGAGAGACCCAAGAGCTGTGAAGGGACTTGTGAAACACTGGCTGTCAGCCTCCCTTTGTGGTTGCTGTTCCCTGCTGCTTTGTGCTCTATTCCAGGCTGTTTTATGAAGCTACACCCATGTCTGGGTTTTGTTGAAATGAGTGATGCAGCTGTCTGAGCATTTTTCAAGTTAGAAACGGGTGTACTTGAGAAATAAGGACAGAAGGGAGAAGAATTGTGTAATACTGCACACACTTCAGTGCGTGCCTAAGGCAGAATGGCATGCAGGTAAGGATTGCCCAATACTCAGTAGACAGTACTCCTGTCATGTGTCAACTTTGTAAGTAAGCAGCGATCCATGCTTGGGTGAGGATTACCCTGGCACTCTGTGTAGATCGGGTGCAACTGTGGTAGAAGGCCAAAAGTTGCAGGTTTATCATCAGAACACCTGAAAAAGGCCAGGATACTTGGTGAAGGATGGAGGAAATGTTATGAAAATAACTTGAGCTGGAGGAAAACTGCCTTTCTCAGAATCAGCTGTTCCTGCATCAGAAATGGCGCAATTGGTTGTTTTTCTCTCTTCCTGACTATTTGTCTTTCACAAAACAGCCAGTAATGCAAATAGTCATTCTGCAGCTGTGCCCGTGTCTGCATGGAGCAGCTGGACTGATGTGGAGAGAGGTGGTTTCTCTCCTAGTCAATGTGGTGGGGGGAACAGTTGAGTTAGAACATCTTTTTTTGTTTGTTTTTTGTTTTTGTTTTGTTAAATACATTGGAGCTCTGTAAACACAAGCATATGTTAAACTTCGAACACTGGCCTCTTCAGCTGTGAAAAGACAATGTGGTTCTATGGGTTGGGTGCAGCCTCCTCAGGCTAAGTGATTTGCACCCTGAGACCACTCAGCTGCTTTCCATAATTCTTTGGAGAGCTCTGCCAGCCTGAAGGAACTGACCTCTGCTGGGATTGTTTCCGAGGAGCATGGAGCAAATGCCCAGTTGCTCGGTTGAGTTTGACTCTTCTGTGATGCAGTAAGTAGGTGCTTGCTGGGAAGTCCTGGCTCCACGTGTGAGCATGGTGGCTCATGCCTCAGACTGTGGTAGCAGATGCTTTTCATGGTTGAGTGCGTAGAGGTTTAGTCTGCTGCTTAAAATAAATATCTTGGCCAAATACTAGCTTTCTGACATGCTGGAACGCCCCTTGGTGTTAGCCTATAATTGGCTCTTCGGGGGTTTGCCCATGCTTTATCCTTTAATCTTCGATCATTTAGTAGTCTAGGAACTGATCCATTGTGGTTAGTCTTGGAGTGCATTGTCTCTCTCTGTCAGGCTGTCTCTTGGAGCTGTTAGTTTGGAGGCTGCTGATTAATGATTTGTCCCCCAGCTCTAGGTGTTTTGCAAGTGTTTCCCTATAAACAAGTGAAATAAAAAAGTGTGTCTGGTAAATGAAATTCATCTCTGGTTAAATCTGAATCCGCTGCTGTCTCCAGCACCCCACTGCCTCGTTCCAGCTCAGCAGTTGTGTGAACTCCAGAAGTGAGGGGAAGAGCAAAGAATAAATGTAAGGAATCTGTCTACTACTTTCTCCCTTACCATTCCTGGCCACTGCTTGATGGGGAGGGAGACTGTTGTAGAGCAGAGGTATGAGGCTGAGCAGCCTCAGGTCAGGAACTTCGGAGGCATGGGAGAGCAGAGTAAGATGTGGAGCCAGAGTTCCCATTTGCTCTGTACGGGAAAAGTGGTACACAACTGTTCTAACAAATCTGGGACAGAGGGGAGTCAGGTATGTAGCTGGAATGGGGTGTTAGCTGAGGAAAGAGACTGATCATTGCCAAACCCTGAATCTCACACAAACTAAGCAGCCTTAGTTAAGGAGCTAGAGACGCTATGGCCTAGCCCCATCTCATCCTTGCCCAACTCCTCCTTCCCCACATAGCAGCTGACCTAGGCAACTGCAATGCCAGTCTTTCCATCCACCTCCTGCAAGTCTTTTCCTGACTCTGTACCTGCATCAGGTGCTGCCCTTCAGTTTCCTCCCCACTTACATGCTTGTGCACAGAAGCCAGTGTGAAGCTGCAACCCTCTCCTTGTCCTAATTTACTCCCTGAGGGCATGTTGTGCCAAAAAAATAGAAATTCTGCACACATTTTAAAATTCTGCAAAATTCTGCACTTTTTTTTGTCAAATAAATGCGGAGACTCTAGCATGACAGTAGGGAACACAGACCCCTGGCTGCCTAGAGGTGGGGGAGATCATGGTGAAGATTCCCCCCGCCCAGGGCACGAACTCAGTGGTGAGGCTGCACCCAACCCTGACAGCGCAAGGACTGGGCCTGCCCCAGAAACACCCCCAGGCCCTGCCCTCTGTGTGGGCAAGGCAGGATCCAAGTGTGGAGGGGCTTAGTGTGTGGGGTTCCAGGTGTAGGTTGAGGGTTCTGTAGGGGGCAATCTGAGTGTGGGCAGCTCAGTGGGGGATCCAGGTGCAGGGAAGATCTGGATGCACAGGGGCTTGTTGGGGGTGGGGTTGGGTGCAATGGTAATGGAACTCTGCAGGGGAGTCTAGGTGAAGGTGGTTGGGGCTTAGTGGGGCAGAGTCTGGGTATAGGGGGGATAGCACTTGGCAGGGGGGTTGGAGTGGGTGGGGCTCAGAGGGGAGTCCAGATGCTGGGGGAGTGGGGCTCATCTTGGGGGTGGTTCTGAGTGTAGGGGAATGAGGCTCAACAGGAGCGTCTGGGTATGAGGGGGTCTGGATATATGGGCGTTGGGCAGATGGGGGTGCAGCTCCCTGTACAGGGATCCCTCCCCATGCAGCTGAGGAGCAATGGGTGAAGGAAGCAGGGGGAGGGGGAGTTTGCAGAGCTGCCTGCAGCCAGGGGAGAAATCTGGGCGTGAGTCTGACCTGGCCCTGGATGTCATGCAGGGGAAGAGGAAGTCCTGTCCTCCCCAGCCCAGCTGGGACTAGCAACTGAGCCCAGTGCAGGGTGGGTGCCGCCAGTCAGCTCTTCCCCAGTCCCATCTCCTGCCCCACAGTGATTTACCTCTCTGCTGGCTGCCCTGGACACCCAAAACTTACAGCTGGGGAGGGTCACATGACTACTCTTGTGGCTTCCGTTTGCTTCCCCCTCAGAAAGTCATTTTTCTGCAGAGAATCAAAGAAATGTGTGGGGGACATAAATTCTGCACATGTGCAGTGGTGCAGAATTCCCACAGGGGTACTAATTGTGTGGAGGATGACATATGCTGCTTAAGGTTCGGTTAGAAGCGGGAGACCTACATTCTCCCTCTATTTTCTGACTCCCTGCAGCGAGGAGGCATGCAATCCTTTTCAGGCCAACTGCACTAGTACCGAGGAGGCAACAAGCTAGGCTAGATTCCCTGCCAGGAACCATCCCTGCAGTACGCTGTCGACTGTGGCCTCTCTTCCTCCCACCGATAAAGAGAATAATTCTACCCTGCCCCAAAAATGACAAGTTCAAGGTCTGTGATGGTAAAAGCTCCTATGTTTTTGTATGTTTCTCAGGCAGCGGCTTGCAGAAGACAAGCTGCACCTCAGATTGTAATAAACAGCAGCAAAAAGAGAGATTAAATAGGCGCTTTAGGATAAAGCATGAAAAGATTGATCAAAGCAACACATTTTGCAAGTGACAGTAAAATGGGAGAGGAAAGAATTTTAAGCTGTTGCAGCAGCCAGCAGGAGAGAGATCATAAACTAGCAGCAGGCAAACCAATAGCGTGAAAGCAGTTGCTTTATACAATTTATTTAAAATAAGTTTTGTTATAAAACAGGATCTTTTTATTAAAATACATAAAAACATCTAATCTTACAAAAGGCTGGGTTTTCTAAATAGAATCCACAGCGCAAGAACAAGCTTAGAAAGAGCCAAGGTGGAATCAAGTATTTGTAATACTGGGAAGATTGACAAATGCAGCCTGTGCTCTGTAATGCAGGCCAGCACACCCTGTTGGCTGTATTTGGGCAGCTGCTCTAAACAACAGCTCTTGAACTCCATCCACCGCACCCCACCCCACCCCACCCCCAAAGGTTAAACAACATCCACACTTAACTATATAAACCAACGTTTTTTGCTTGTTTCTTTTCGGCGACTGTAAGAGAGGCTATAAATATTTCAGACACTTCCATGAACGAACACACTGACCTGTTTAGAAAGAGAGAAGACGGTTTTTAAATAGCTTTACAATTAGCTTTATTTGAAGCTTTTTTAAACATTCGATCGCTGCTCAGCAGCAGGCTTATTACACTGGCACATTAACAGGTGCTTTTTGCACAGCCCTGTATGTTAAGTCCTGCATGCAAGTCCATGTGGGGGGTGGGGGTAGTGGTGAGAAGCAGAGGGATGGTAAGAAAGGGTTCTGGCTCCAATGTTTTGCGTCACACACACAGCGGGGCCTGATCTTGCTTTAAGTGGTAGCAGGATTCCAGTCTTTGCTGGCCTATGCAAGCGTCAAAATAAATAGTAGATGCCCTGGTCACATATGGGAGACTTTCTGCAGGAGTAGGGCTCAGGGAGACAGACAGATCCAGGAAAGGATTGATTCAGTTTTCTAAACCCAGTGTTAAGATCCCCTTGGTCTTTGGCAAGTAAGACAGCTGCACTATTCAGTTACCACCTGGCTGCTCCAGCTTCCTGCAGAGCAGTACCAAGTTATATCTGCTAGATAGCTGGAAGCCTGGGTCGCTGCTACAAGGAAAACACCAGTTTAAAGGCAGTAGTTGCTTTTCTCAGCTCTAACCTTAACCTCAACCTCACTACCCCTCTCCTGCCAGATGGATAAAGGTATGAAAGTCACTTAAAGAGCTTCATTTGCCTCTAGAGTTGGATCCAAGGAACTCTGGCTGGCTATGAGGAATCCTTGGTTTAAGGCAGACAGTTCAGCTGGTTTTAGTGGTGGCGGGCTGCTGCTTTTATACACAGAGGGTGCAGGACTTGTCATGGCAGAGTGCCTGCTCCTTGGAAAAGTTCTGCTAAGGGACAAACAGCACGGAAGGGCTAGAACATTTCTTCCTCAACAGTTACCGTAATGACCAGCAAACTTGCTTTCCTATGTGGCTATCCCCACCCTCCACAGCTATAATCAACTAAGGAGATGATTGGTGGAGGGAGAGGACTGCTTGAGAAACAGCAATGGGGGATCAGAAGAAGGTACTGCTTGTATTTTTAGGAAAAGTGGGTGAAGAGGACAGTCCCCATCTGTAGTTTGCAGATGTGAAAATGAGTGGAAGACTGCTTCAAAGTGAATGGATTGTGAGCTTTAGCCAAGCAAATTATGGCCCTTCTGGATCCCCAAATGCTGTTTAAATCCAAGAATAAGAGGCACACACCGTCCCCTCTGAAATTCACCCTTCCCCTCTCTCTGCGTTGTGTGTCGGGCAGCAGAATACAATGAAATAGCATGTGTGCAAGTATGTCGGCGTGAAGTTTGAACTAGGGCCAATGTGGACGTCCCTGCCATAAATTACCTCTAGGTTGTCCTCGACCAGCTGACACCTACACAAGCTTTACCCCAGCTATCTATGAGGAGATGAAGACAGTGGCATGAAAGTCCGTGATCTTCCCTTCCACAGCTCTCGCTGGCAGCAGCCGGAGAGCCATGAATAGATCCGAACAGACGCAGCCCTGGTCGTTGCACAGAGGAAAGCACAGACACGGTTGGCTGGTAGGTTTTAAACCAACAGCTTGGTGATACTCTTTATTCATTTACAAATAAAGCCAGGGGCCGTGAGATGGGAGAGGCCCCGGCAGCTCTACTCTCCCTTCAGATCCACTAAAAACCTCCATATGGCAAATAAAAGTATACATGCATAAGTGCCACAGGGAGGCAGGTAAAAGCCCCTGGGCTTAGGTCCACCAGAATCCAGCTCCAGGGGCATCCATTGCCAGCAATGGAGTCCGTAGTGTGCACTGCCAAGCTTGGTGCCCCTATCTGGTGACACGAGTCTCCAGGTGGGACTTCATTTCTGCAGGAGTCTTGGTTCAGAGATGGAGGAAGGAGAACCGGCACCTGACAACCTGGTTTCACATCTGCAGTGGAGCAACCTGTTGTCCATGCTTCCAAGAGCTTCTGCCTCTGCTCGGGAGCCTGGAGAGACCTGTGTTCACCTTTGGCTCTTGGATCCCACAGAGTCCTGCTTGCTCCTGAATGTGTGACAGGGCACAGTAGTGTGCATTGTCAATCCAGTGGGGGAGGAGGAGAGTCTCTTTCCGTTTTCGGATCTCTTGAAACGCGGGGGTTCTCCTTCACAGCATGAGCTCCCTGGGGCTGGAGCAGATCCTGTTTCCCAGCTGAGCGTGTCCATCACACAGGGACTGGCCTCAGCTTTCCTACAAGGAAAGAAAAGAGCATCAATACTATGGCAAAGGGGAGAATGCATAATTCCTGCCCCAAACACCAATGTAGAGACGTGAGGGCTTCTCCCTGCTATCACCAAAGGAAGGCCCCGGCTGTAACCCTGGCCCATGAATTGCCAAAGAAAAAGCGCCCTGCATTAGAGACTGCAAACCACCTCACACCGTTTCTGAGACACAAGCCCCGCTTTGCCAGTTATTGAGCAGACTTGACCTTCCTCCTTAAGTGTTTACTGAAGTAGAGACCTTCACCGCTTACAGAAAGGCTTAAACCCGACTGCCCTCCATACCTGCACATGCTCACCTGGAGGCCAGGACTTCCCCTAATTTCAGGCTGAAATCAAAGCGAACAACACAGTTTCATTGGAGACGAGGTTACACATGTTCCCGCCCCCTGCAACGAAGCCTGCCCCTCCCCCACTTTTTCTCTCAGTGCTACGAGGAGGAGGGGAAGTTGGGCGTGGGATTTAGAGCAGTGCACAAAGGTTATGTAGCACCACCCTCTCTTTGTGCCCCCTTCAGGAAGGGCTGCCAAGGGTGGTTTTTGCTGTGCTGCCTTGTCAAACTATGTGGCCATTACTGGTCCTTAAACGAGAGGCGATGACGACAGCATGAGCTTGCAGTCTGCAATGAAAACCTCTTCCCTTGGTCAGCACCGGCTCCCCACCACATGGACGCTGGAGCAGAAGCAAAGCAGGTGGGATTAAGATCTCAGACCAGGCAGCATCACCACTGGGTCCTCTTCCAAGAAGGGAGGTGGAAGAGATTTAACTGGGAATGTTCCAGATCTTTTGTGTTTAGTTAATGAACTTATTCCAGGCGAATGAGCCGTTAGTTGTCTGCTGCACTAGCCCCAGTTGTTACCAATCCTCTTTTCTATAGTCATGTCTAGTCTGGAATTTATCTGGGGAACTGTCCTGTGAAGACCCTCAAAAGGCAACATGAATAGAGCACAACACATCAGAGCACGTGGACACCTCAGTTCCTAGGATCGCTCTTCGCACACTGGGACTGGATGTATCAGAAAAGAGCCGTTTGTCACAGTTCTGGGCAACTGCCTTGTATTTTCCCTTAGGGCCCCAGCAAGGGCATTAGGATTCCAGCTCCCTTTCTTGGGTGGAGACCCACGTCTCTCCCTTCTATCTGGGGTATTTCCAGGCTGCGCAGTTCTCTGCCTTCAGTGTGGTATTCCCACCAGCAGAGACAGGCTGCCCCACTACAGCCGCTTGCTTTCTCTGCAGAGACGGTTAACAGTGTTTACCATACAGCTCTTTCTAAGCAAGCCAATTTTATTCTTAAGGTAAAAGCACCACACAGAAAACATATTAAAAACAACAAAAGAACCTACACACATGCTAAATAGCTTACCGGAGGTCACCCCAACCCTAATATGGGCTCTGGCAGGAGCAGTCCCTCAACCCGCCCCCCCCACCACACACAATGGTTTTCCTTGTTGTTTCAAGCTCATCACAGCTTCAGCTCAGAACAAGCACATGGTCTTATAGGGCTGCGGTAGGCCCAGCCCTTCCAACCCGTCCCTCAGGGCTGGGGCCCTCTGTGGACCAGGGGTCCTGCCTATTTGCTGGAAGAAGGCCCTGAGCCAGTTTAAAACCAGGCTATTTATCCAAAAATCCCTTCTTTGTCTGTGGGTCCCTGGAGAATCCAATCTGAAATCCAAGGAGGGTGGCTTGAGCCTCCTAACTTCTCCCTATTAGGGGTTTGTGAATTTTCTCTACAGCCTATGTGCCACTGGATAAAGCAGCTTGCCTCAGTGAGATCTAAGGGCTCTGTCTGATGCTGCAGAGCCAATGCCCACACATTTATGGTAAGACAAGCCCTCTGGGTCAGCCTTTTGTACAAACAATGCATTCAGAAGAAGTTCTCTTCTTGCTGGGAGGGACTCAGAAACCATAGCTGGGTGGGGCAGAGGGGGTGGGAATTCATACAGTTTGGACAGAGGGTGAAGAGTCTGGAGTTTGTTATTCACATCCACATGTGTCAAGAAGCATTACTGAAAATAAGGAAGCACCGAGAGGCTGAAGGAGACCTCTCCACTGCACCTACCTGAGGTCTGGAGCTTCCTCCGGAATGAGCCTGCTCGTCTTAAAGGGGTCCCGGAGCTAGGAGAAGAATGTGTTCGAATAGAGGGCTGTGCTGCCCCTGCTGAATCATTCTAGAGAGAGTGAGAGCCCGGGATCAGACGGCAAAGAAAAGCTACACTGTCTGCACCATTAAGGATTTTTAAAGACAAATAACCACACTGGGCCAGCCTAGTAAATCTGCCACATGAAGAATGCAGGCCGCGCCGGATGGGACCACTACTGCTCAAGGCAGTCAGAAAAGGGGCCGTTGTATTCTGAGCAGGCTGGTAGATTCTAGAAGGGCCCTCAGGGGGAGTTCCAAACTTCAGGCCCTGGGGCTGGTGAGAGAGGGAGAAAGACTGTCCCAGGGTGGAGGAGGTTGTGTGTGTCACAGAGAAACAGAACGTGAACAGCACCCCAACAGAACAATCTAACGCAAGGCAATGGAAGAGTGCAACGGGGTTGGTTAGTTACCTCTAAGTGCTCTTGACTAGACCAGGACCCTAGTTCTGCTCTCCGGGATACAGGGCCCAGTTCCACAGAGCGAACCCTCTCAGCAAACTTTAGGGAACAGAGAGTCTCACTTGTGTTCTTCTCCACTGGAGAGACCTGGAGCCAGACAGAAATACACAGCATTCACTGCCTTGAACTCTCCCGGCCTCTCTCCCAACATTCCCGTACTGCTCGCAGCGGGCAGCCGTCGATCCCTGGTAACAGGAGGGGGGGCAGGACTGGAAGAGCCGTGTTCACTATCAGACAGCAGTTACAGTGAGGCTGGATAGAATCTAAGTTCCAGCTCTCCGTCACAGCAAGAGTATTTCAGAGCTGCTAAGAGCCTACGATTAATAAAAATCATTTCCCATTATAGCACTGTACACGTATGTGGTGCTTTACAATCAGAGTCAAGTGTGTTCCCTGTAACTAACACACTTTTGTTTGTAGGAGAGCTGAAATAAGCTACAGCAGCTGGCAACCGCTCAGTGGCTCTTCCATAAGGGAACAGTGGAGACACAGGCATTCTAGTGATTTATTGGTGAAATTCCTAGTGGGAAGGGGGCACACAAGCTGCAGGGAGGTTTTAAAAAAACACCTCAGGCCACCATGAACAAATAGAGGTGAGCAGAGAGAGACTATTAAGAATCTGATAATGCCAACCACAGAAAAATACAGAGGAGAGGGGGAAACCCACCCCAAAAAGCCACATGTTCCCTGGCCTGGCCTGGCTGTTAGAGAACATTTAGAGCCGTAGTTTAGTATGAGATTTCTCAGACTTCCATATACAAGTAGATCTCTGTGACCCACCCAGGACTAGAATCTGTGAATGGATTTACTGGCTTTCCTGCCTCTCATGGACAACAGAGCTCTCTTTGAGTAGAGCTGTTAGAGAGAGACAATAGAAAAAGGATGAGTTTTGCGGGTTCTATTTCAAGATCAAGTCTTTTCCTCACACAGTGCCCCCAAGTATAGTGTAAACAGACAAGTAGGCAGGGCTGACTGAATCTCATTGGATGCCCCGACTTCTTGGCTCTGATGCTGGTGGAGTGCCGTGACGGACAACTGTGCTCCTCCTCTGTGACTGAGGGCATGTCTCTGCTTTGAGCGGGAGGTGTCATTTCCAGCTCGAATAGACGTGTGTGCACTCGCTTCGATCCCACTACCACGCTAAAAATAGAAGGGTAGCTGCAGCCGTGCAGGTAGCAGGCTGGGCTGACGGCCTAAGTCCATCCCTACGGACCTCAGTCGGATTGTAGTTAGGGCGGCCAGCCCTCTCACTGGTCGCACTGTCGCGCTATGCTCTATTTTTAGCGCACTGGCTCAAACAAAGCTAGAAATGACATCTCCAGCTCAAAGTGTCCATTCGCTGTTGTAAGAGGAGGCTTTCAGCTAAACCTGAGTATCCCCTTCCATTGCACTGGAACCTTTCCCTTTCAGTCCGTGACATGTCCCAAATGGCAAGCTACTCTGCAGTGCAGGGAAAGGGGAGAGGCATGCCATACATTTACACAACACGTAATGTATTCCTCATGCTTCATCACCAGCACAGACCCGACCAAGTGCAGATATTCCACAGCGGCACTGGGAGAACTCGAGAAGAGAGGCTGATGTTGGAGAGGGAGACTGTAATACGTTATGGCCTGCAGCACTTTCATGTTGAGACAGGAGCATGGTTTGAAGTGGGAAGTAAAGGCATGTAGGGAAGCCCAGCTGTCTGCAGCAAACGTCGACAAAGAAGGGCACATGGACGCACCCCCCCCACAGAGTCAGAAGACTGCAGTGACTCTATGCCAGTTTACACCAGTGGAAGAGCTAATCCTAGTGGGTGTGTAGGAAGATTTTCCAGAGGAGGGTGCCACTCCTGTGGTAACATTGAGGGTGTTCTCAAAAAGCAGAAGGGCAGTGACTGATTCCTGAGTCTGGTCAAAGGCAGCTATATAAATACATGTTGTGAATTGCCCCAATCAAACTGAACAAACAGAATGAAGCAGCTTAAATAAATGCCCAGCGAACATATAAGCCAGTTAGTGGATCACATTAAAATTGTATAGTATAGTATCAATTGTTGCACTGCAAACTTATTCTTAGAAATGTGGTTTCTACTCTAAAAAATGACTGTGTAAAAACGGCACCTCCTTATTCATCTACTCCCCATGGGGCATTCAGGGTCAGCCTTGCTCACTTTAGCAACTAAAACAAGTTTTTACTGTTCTTTACGCCTATTATCCATGCAGAAGCCAACACAGCTATGAGAGAGGAAGCCAAATTCTATTCCTTCTTATGCATTAGGGACAAACCTGCCAAGTAGGTTCCAGGCAGTGACACCTGTGCAAACTCACAGACAGCAACAGGACTGCACAGGTCTCACTGAAGGCAAAATCTGAAGCCAAGGGGGTTGCTCAGGTGTCACTAAGCCATAATTTGGCCTGCAGGGCCTTTATTACTGGTGATGAGATGGAAGAAATCCAACTTGACTCTCAAGTTGCTGGCTGTTACGAAAAAGCCCATCTTTTCACTTATAAACAGCACCATTGATTAAAATTAGAGACACTCCATGTAGAACCCCACAGTGCCACTTTCAGAGGAGAGCCACACCTCAAGTGAAGCCTTATTGTATCTACCGATCCAAACTTGAGACGACAAGCTTTCTTATGTCCGTTCCTCAGACCTGTTAAGAACCCAATGAGGTTCTGGACCATGAGGTTCTGGACTTCTCTTGGCTTTTTGACAGTATAAAGTTTCCTGATTCAGTCAACCATCTCTCCTTACCTCATCTGCCCATTCGGCCCCAGAACCTACCTGCACCATCATGAGGGTTTTGCTATCTCCGCTGAGGGAGTCTTGGAGTAGGTAGGTCAATTTGGAGTTGCGGAATGGCACGTGGCCCTGGCGGGCGCGCAGAGCATAAATCACATCTCCTAGTGCTGACAGCGACTTGTTGATGTACTGGGCCTCCCGGAGCCTGCTTCCCTCTGCACCAGACCTGCCTACCCGTTCAGATCCAGCCAAGTCCACCAGGTTCAGCTTCCCTATGACCAGCCAAAACACAAATACACACACAAACTTAATAATCCTATGCAGTTACCTGCTTGGCCCATGTGGAAGTGCTAGCCACAGTGGGGCCTGCCTAGCAATTAATGAACATCCCCATCCTCTCCAGTTAGGAACTAGACACACTAAACTTTATATTGCTATGGAGAATTATGAGTAAAGTGTCCCACAGATCAACCTGCAGCTTGGATTTTCATTACATTTAGAGCTGATGAAAGAGGGCCAATAGTTTGTACAAGCTGAGCCAGCCTTTGGGGGTTGCCTACACTTGATACAGAATCACTGCACAATTGTGCAATGCATGGGGGTAAAAATTCCTTCTTGATCTTGTAGCAATCAGCTGATGTCCCGAAGCATGAAATCTGAGCACCTTATCTTAGCATGTATAACTACAGATGTTCTAGAGTAGCCAGCCTCTTTTTCAATTCGGCTACACAACTCAGTCCTGACCAGCAACACCCTGAGCATTCTGCTCCCAAACACTGACTCCCAGTAATTGTGTGGACTTCTGTGTCAGAGACAAGCATCCCCTAGGGAGTAGGCCAGTGGCACCCAGTTCTTTTTTCACTTGTTACCCACTTCAGCAGTTGAACCCAAATCTCTAGGCCTGTGTCATCCAAGCACAGGTGTGGTCACAAGTCTCACCCTCCACCTCCTAGGAGACACTAACCTGTGGTTCTAAGTCCTGTGCTGTAGTCGAGTCCTCTTACTGTGACGATGAGGAGGGCGTGAGACCGTGAGCTGTGCTCATTGAGGCTGGTGTACTCAGTCACTCTGTTTGAGTGCCCAAATTCAAATACCTGGGAGAGAGGCAGAAAGCCGTGAGCCTTTGGATTTCATTGTGTTCTCTGGCCAGCAGCTTCATCTATCCCGTCTACATTTACCACTTTCTTAAATGACAACATGGTGGGCAGGTCTTTGGCAGATCTTCCTTGCTGATGCTCCGCACCACTGGCTACCCCATTTTCTGAGCAGAACGTGGATGAACGGCAGCCCTTTCTCCCTTGCAGATGCTCATAACCCCAGGCAAATATTAACCCTATGCCTTCCGCAATGAAATCATCAATGACTGACCTTAATTGCTCACGAAAGATATTGGATTGACAGTAGCACGAAATTTGCCCATAGAATAGGTATGGTATGAGCAGTCAGTGCTAGTTTCCCATCACACATCTCTGGCCAGTGCATCTCTCTCCTTTTCTGGTGGGAGTACTTCTCGAGGACAAGGCCCACTCTTTTCAGAGACTGCCAGCAAGGGTGCAAACCCAGTGGGTGGGTGGGTGTCTGGGGGGGGTCGCGGGGCAATATAATTGGGATATGGACACAGAAGTGGACTGAGACCTGACAGTTCATTTCACACAAGGCACTGTCCAGCCCTTCGACCTGTGGGAGAAAGGTTTGGTATCCTACTAACGCCCTGAGAGCCATCTAGGCCCCAAAAGCTTATTTTTAAATTATTGGTGGCTCACACAAAGGGTTATTGACCTCCGAACTGGTCTCATCATGTGGCATTTGTCACATTATATTCAGGGCCCTATTCCAGTCTCCCTTCCCTGCTCCTCACAAACATACCCAGTTCGGAGGGGTAATTACTTAGACCTCCATTTCACAGAATCATAGAAGATGAGGGTTGGAAGGGACCTCAGGAGGTCATCTAGTCCAACCCCCTGCTCAAAGCAGGACCAACCCCAACTAAATGTATCTTCATTCTTTACAAATCTGTCACCTGCTCCCTGTTTCTGTGAAGTGCTGACTCATGAAATTGAAATTACAGTACATCTTAGGCATGTGAAGAAACACAGCTCACATTACAAGCTGCTTTCTGGGTCGATTCTGTTGAGTGCCTCGTTTTCAGTCTGACTCCTACAAGAGGCAAATATCACACGTGTCAGTCTATCACACATGTGAGTCTAGGAGGGTTTGGATCTGTGCCCACTGCCTTCATCTTATGCAGAGCCGTCCCATCCATAGGACAGACCAGGGCAACCACCCCAGGCCCCATGCTTTGGGGGGCCCCGTGCTTCAGGACGCAGGGTCCAGGGCAGCCTGGGGAGTTAGCGGGGGGCCTGGTGCCGGCAGCAGCAAGCAACCCAGCTCCAGCCCACTCTACTCCGTGGGAAGAGGTGGGGAGGGGCAGGAGAGGGAAGAGGCAGGGCGCGGGATTGGGGGAAGGGGTGGAGTGGGGGCAGGAAGGGGGTAGGGCAGGGTGGGGTGGGGCAGGAGCAGGAAGAGGTGGGGCCTGGGATTGGGGGAAGGGGTGGAGTGGGGGCAGGGCCTGGGCCAGAGGGAGTGGGGGGTTGTCCCAGGCCCCTAGGGATGGCCCTGATCTTATGTGTGGAGAGATGAGGCATTTGCATCCTCTTGTCCCTGTGCTGCGACCACTGCTCCAGCAGCTGGTCTGTTCATAAGACAAGAACTTGAGTAAGTCTCTCTAATGCACCGGGCAGTTCACCCCATCCCAGTAGGTGATCCCCCAGCTGGTTCACCCCATCTACTAGGTACCATCGCTGCCCTTCCCCTCCTGGTTTCTCCATCTCTCAGGATGTTTTTACCTTGTTAATATCCTCCACACTTCGCACCTGGAACTCAGTCAGTCCTGGTACATACAGCTGCCCGCTGCCATCCGGGCACAGTTTGATGTCCAGCTTCTCCTGAGGCTCCTTGCCAAGCAAGTCCCTGTAAAGATGGGTAAGGTGACCCTCCCCTCAGACTCGTGTCATTTTCTGTTCCCTATACTAGTGACTTACAAAGGTGAAAGGTATGAGGCCTTTCAGCCTGACCACCCCTGAACTAATGTCCCCACCAAGGAAACTACAGCCCGTGGCAGGCCAGGCTCCCATGCTCTGCTCTGCTCTGCCAGTGGTCTGGTTTATGACCTAGACAGGACAAGCTTTTTCCAGCCGTTGGAAGCCAGGATTTCTCCTCAAGCATGCTTACCCCAACTGTTGCCCACAGAACCTTTTCATTGGCTTTGGGTGAACAAGCACAGACTAAATACTAGCAACACCAGCTATACGATTTTCAGAGGAATCATTTCCCACTGGATGCTTCCTCATCTATTTATAGTCTCAGCTCTTCTATTTTCTGTGTGTGTGTTATTTGTCTGTCAGGAATGTAACATAACCCATCCGTATAGCGCCCCAAACAGATCCACATTCAGAAGTTCCACTCCCCTGTTTCCACCTGATCTGACTCATGCCTGGTTTGCAGCTTTTATTATCTCAACAACTGACAGTCTCCGTCTCAGGTTCAACCTACCCAGTTGCTGTATAATTAAGTCATTTTTCCAGTGTCTTTGCTGCCACCCTTCTATGCTCCATTCCCACCCCCAACCCTACTCCTGAAGGAGACAAGAAGAAGAATTCACTGGAGGAAAATGCTTCTCATTCTTTGAGACCATAGCTCACAATTTCCAAACGTAACAACCAAAGTGCCAAAGGCACAAAACACAGGCAGAGAATGTTAATGTAAAAGAGCTTCCAATTAAAGCTTGTTGGGGTTTCCACATCCATTAGCGGAAAATGAGGAGGCAGAGAGCGAAAGCATGAAGGGGAAAAATACAGTCTGATTGCTGGCTGATGTTTTAACAGGTGTTGGCATGAGCGAGAGGCCACAGAAACAGAAGGCATTCTAGGAACCCAAGGCTTGGGAAGAATTCCAGGCAGGAGTTCTGAAAGCCCTGTGTGCTGAGAAAAATCCCCGAGCCCGCTAAAGCTAGGGGACTGGAGCACACATCAAAAACAGAATGTACAGCCCAGGATCAGTGTGGTAGTTTAAGATTTTGGAGACACCATATGCTTCTTAATTACCTGTACATGGGAGAGAAGAGACCGTACACTAGACAAGTTGGAGGAGGAGAGATATATGAAGCGAACCTGCTTTTTCAGCCATTAAGAATTCCCAGCCTAAGCACTACAAGTAAACTCCCTGGTAAACACAACGAAAATAGGTTCCAAAGTAGTAGCCGTGTTAGTCTGTATCCGCAAAAAGAACAGGAGGACTTGTGGCACCTTAGAGACTAACAAATTTATTTATTTCTCACTTCATCAGATGCATGCAGTGGAAAATACAGTGGGGAGATTTTATATACACAGAGAACATGAAACAATGGGTGTTACCATACACACTGTAACCAGAGTGATCAGGTAAGGTGAGCTATTACCAGCAGGAGAGAAAAAAAACCTTTTGTAGGTGGGCCATTTCCAGCAGTTGACAAGAACATGTGAGGAACAGTGTGTGTGTGGGGGGGAAATAAACAAAAAAAACTTCAAAAACAGACTCCAAAGAGATACTGCTGAACTGGAATTAATTTGCAAACTGGACACCATTAACTTAGGCTTGAATAGAGACTGGGAGTGGGTGTGTCATTACACAAAGTAAAACTATTTCCCCATGTTTATTCCCCACCCACCCACCCCCCACCGTTCCTCAGACAGTCTTGTCAACTGCTGGAAATGGCCCACCTTGATTATCACTACAAAAGGTCCCTCCCCCCCCCCGCTCTCCTGCTGGTAATAGCTCACCTTACCTGATCACTCTGGTTACAGTGTGTATGGTAACACCCACTGTTTCAAGTTCTCTGTGTATATTAATCTCCCCACTGTATTTTTCCACTGAATGCATCCGATGAAGTGAGCTGTAGCTCATGGAAGCTTATGCTCAAATACATTGGTTAGTCTCTAAGTCCTCCTGTTCTTCTTACACCGACAATAGACAGCCTGGTTCAGAGTTCAGGTGTGTCATTTATGCCCAGCCCTGCCCACGTGCAGTGCGGAGCCACCTTGCCCTGGAGGAGCACCAGGACAGATTGCCCTTGCCTTTGCAGGGTGACTCAGCGCACACACTCCATGTCACCCATTAAGGGACACAGACATCCCACACTCAAGCTTTCCTACAGACTCCCACCCCTCCCAGGCTCCCTTCCTGTTACCTGAGCGCCTCGTTGTAAATCTCCGCCACACTGACAGTGATAGTGTAGCCCCAGTCAGACGCTTTCCTCTGCACCTCGGAGAAGAGCAGCTGAAGAGCTCGCTGGTTGATTCCTGGGTTTTCAGGAGTTCCCTGATGATCGCGAAAAAAATCTCACATGTGACATCAATGGAGAGAAAGGTGTGACAGAGTGACTGACACAAGACTCACCACTGAGCCCATACGGTGTGCAGTTGTGAGGACACCGGTAGGATATTACACCACGACAAAGCTTGGAACAGGCATCCATGATTCACTGTGGAATCACCAAGATCCACCTCCCACGCTCATGGAAGAGAAGGGGAACAGCCAGAAGGTTGCAAAACAACCAGGTTCCAACCTTCTTCTTCAGACTGTTCTGCTGTTGGCATTGTGAGGTTTATTACCAACTTGGAAGATGCATAGTCAGGGCTGCTGTGCATGGTTAATCAGGGAACATCATTCTTGGTCACGGTGACAAAGGGGGAATTTACACACATTTACCCATGACCATATCCGTTACATACAGTGATCTAGGGATCAATCTACCCTCACCCTTCCTCAAGAAATGATGACACTGAGCCGTAGAATACAGGAAGCAAAGCAAGAAGACACACTGAAAGGGAAGATGGAGGGAGACAGAGAGAGAAAAGGCGAGAAGGGGAAATTTACCTCCATTGTATATGTCTTGCCTGCACCTGTCTGTCCATAGGCAAATATACAGACATTGTAGCCATCAATACAGGATGTGATCAGGGCCTGAACTTCCTGGAATACCTGCCAATGGGAAAGAAATAAAAATGAGCAATATCTGACACCCCAGCATAACCACTCCCCCTGCTGCAGCCTCTCATACAGATTACACGTGGGATTGACTGGCTGTGCTGGAACCTCTTGTTTCTACATTAATTTATTGCATACCATTGGGTGACGGAAAAGCATATACGTTTATACCGGCAGGAGCAGAGATACAGCTCTTAAGTCTACTCGAGTTCTACTCTGCCGGCTTATTGCTCCCTTGGAGGAAAGAGTTGCTTTACCTTCTCTTCTCCATCCTTCCCCTACAAAATCAGGGACCTGTGAGTGATCTGCGACCTTATGAAATAATTATGTGTACACTCATGTTGACCCACACCTTTCTCGTGAGGTGGAAGTCAATGCTAATGTACTTACATCTTGCTGTGTTGCCTGCGGCGAGAAAACCTTGTCCAGTTCAAATGACACCTGCTTCCCCTTGTGCATCAGGTGCAAGATAGCGTCGTCGTCAGGGTCAAAGGTCACTGAGTTGGCTGCTTCAGGCCCTTCCCCATCCTCTTTAGTTATTGGCCGGACTCGGCCAAACACACGGATATTTCCTTTACAAGACAAAAATACAGACTAAAACACAGAGACAAGCTCTCGATCAACCTTCCCACCGATTATCTCTTATCAAAGGGCATCAGACAGCGAAGGTGCTTAACACCATCCACTTCACCGCTCGCATTCTCTTCTGCAACTCCAGATCCCAAAGGTGGAGACTTAGAGTAACATGCTCCAAGACCACCAGCCGGATCATGCGGACTTCCCACAGGACAGACGTTTTGCTAGTGCCCCGCACAGAATATGTGACGCATGCATGGGTGGAGTCACAAGACACTGTTGTCTGCAGCAGGCCACGAATCATGTCCCTGGTAGAACACAGTGAAACCACGGTGATCTGGAGACAGACCACAATAGGTTACTGTGCGACAGAAATGCTGAAGCTTTTGTTATTGCCCTTATGGGTAGGGCCCCCAGAACCAACGATCCCAGCCTCACGCCTCAACAAATGTCTAACTTCAGTCCAATCACAAAGCTTGAAGTGGGAAGTCTCTGCCCTACAGCTGCATTAATGTCACCCACCGAAAAGATCTGCCCTACATCGCTGTCTAAATAATATCTCTCACACACACACCTTTCAGCCGCACCAGTTCGTTGTGACATTTTTTCCGGAGTTGCAGCTCCCGGCGGTATTTCCTGAGTAGCTCTCGATTTGTGCTGTTCACTTCCTCAATGGCTTGTCCAATCTGAAGAGGAGGAGACACGAATTATGAGAGGGGAAAAAACTGAAGTATGGCGAACCCCCACCACAGCATGCTACCCACACATACACACCCACCCCCCTCTTTCACACACACACTTCTCTTTCACAGTGCAGGAACTAGAAAAGGAATCTAACAAGGGAAACATGGGGGATGTTCCCGTGGCAGAGAATCAAAGAGCATCTGTCTCCTTCATGCTCACTGTGCAAACCTAATTGTGGCAGAATCAAAGCGACAGAGCAAGGATTCTCCTGCCATGCTCACCTCTGTCTTGGCATTCCGCAGAGCTTCCTGCAGTAGCAGGGGGAAGTCTCGGACCTGCCGTTTCAGGCTGTTGTAATCATTGGTAAGGGTTCGGAGTGCTGGCTGTAGTGTGAGAAGGTTTGTCCGGACCCCTGCAAACAAACATAAGACAATTGATAATCCTCACATTCAGATCCCACCTTGAAGGTGATAAAGCCCTTCTCCTGTTTGGAGCCTTCACTTGGAAGCGTAGGTCAGAACTCAAACTACCAACAGAGCAGATGGCAGAGATGTGGGGAGGATTCACTAATGCTGCTGGGCATTTCTAAATCCAAGTGTGGCTTTCCTCTCATCACTCCAAAGGAAGTCCTGGTGCAAATGAGAATGTGTAGCATCACCTGGAAAGCTACATTCCCCAGTCCCTGTACCACCCACCCTCGTCAGGTTGTTTTGGGACTTGCTTCCCCTGTTCCTCACCTGCCAGGTTCTCATGCACAGCTTTCATTTCTACTTGAGCTCGTGCAAATGCCTCTTCAATGGCCCGGTTCTTGTCATCTTCCATGTTCTGCATCTCCTCCAGCATCTGTCCATGTGTCTGCTCCAGTTCAGACTCATACATCATAATCTAGGAAGGGACCCAAACTGGAGTTATTAATCTGTGACAAAAAACAGCATCACAAAGGCCAAGCCCAGCAGGACTGACTCACTCACCCACCCACCCAATATTTCATGCCAACTCTTATCAGAGTTTGTTAAAATTCTTTTACTTGTACCATGGGGCTAGGTGAGTAAGTCAGAAACAGTCAATCAAAAAGGGCCACTGAACAAGGAGTAATGTGACCAATGGAACTTCTTCAAGTTGTTCCCATATACGTTCCCTGTGTGACCCAGGGACCTGAGCTCTGAGGTTGGATGCAGTTTGCTATGTTCCTTTGTAGCTGTTTTTCTCTCCTTTTCCACCCACGCATTGTATATTTCCCCCTTCTCTATGCAGTACTGATTACCTGGGCTCTGAGCTGGGCTGCAGTCTTCTGAGACTTCTGTAGTTGCTGTTCCATCTCCTTTAGCACCTGTCTCTGCATCCCCACTTGCTCCTGCAAGTGCTGATTCCGTGACTGGGTCTCACATAGAGCCTGCTTTGTCTTGGATGACTCCACTTCCACCGTTTTGATGATATACTACAAAAAAATTCCCAACACAAGCACTTGAGAAACTCCCCACTATCAGGCCTGGGACAGACACGGCCTTGGCCGAATCAAAGGCATTCCCCACTGAATTTTCCAAGGAAGTTTATCCACAAGGACCAGATGAAACCGGCAAGTCCTTTGGAGCTCAGTGCAGGTCTGCATAACCACCATTACAGATTTACCATAACTTTAAACAGGTAGTGGCATCTTTAGCGCACAAAGCTGGGACTCTTATTTATATGACAGATTTCACCTACCCTAAGCACTTTGTACGCTGCCAGGATTCTGTATAAGCTACAGACAAACAACAAACAGTATTCAAACCGCCTCCAAGCTCCTCCTAGATTCTCTGAGTCAAGGGCTAGCCCATTTTATACCCCTTTTGACATCAAGGGGTTAATAGGGGAGAAAGCCTGGCAGAGTTTGGCCCTTTCTCTCTAAACAAAATGTAACGGCATGCATTCTGCGTGGATTTATAACAGCAAATGGGCAGAATGATCAATAGGAATCGCCCTGCATAAATGATTTGTTCCATCTCACCTTTATCTGCTGGGGTTGGGCTTTCAAGCTAGCTATAGTCTCCTGACTGTCCCGCAGCCTCCTGCTGAGTCGCTCCTCCTCCTCAGCCTTCTCTGCAAGGGAGTCCTTCAAGCGCAGCTCTACCTCTGCCAGGCGATTGGTCTTCTGCTGCACTTCCAAGTCCAGCTCCGACAGCCTCCCTTTCGCCTCCTCCACCTCCAGCTGCAGCTGGGCCAACCTTTCTTGCAGCCTCGCATTCTCCTGCCAACCAGGTTGGGAGAGGGGGGAGAGGAAGCCAAGTTTCATGTGATCAGCAGGCAGCAAGCACATGACACATAATGAACAGCTCTGTCTGCACTCCCCACCCTCGGGACTTCGCTACCTGGATGTGTTCGCAGTCAATGCATTTCACATGCTGCTTCTTCAGCTTCTGCAGCTCCGCCTCACATGACTTCATGTCTTGCTTTAGGTGCTCGTTCTCTGCAATGAGCAGATCCCTGTGCTTTTCCAAGTCAGTGCCACCCTGAAAAGGGCAGAAGAGGAGACAGAGTGTTTTTTAACCCAATATTTTACTTTCAGTCAGTGGGTCAAATTCTGCGCTCTCCCTACACCCATGCATTTGACTTCAGTGGAGTTGCACCAATAAAAGAAAGAACAGGATTTGGCACAGTATCTTTAATAATAATTAAGGATTCTACATTTTTCACACACTATACACATGTGAAGAAAAGGAGGACTTGTGGCACGTAAGAGACTAACAATGCTCAAATAAATCGGTTAGTCTCTAAGGTGCCATAAGTCCTCCTTTTCTTTTGGCGAATACAGACTAACACGGCTGCTACTCTGAAACCTGTACACATATGGTACTCCTGAAATGCAGCCATCTCTGGGGTGAAGGGCAGAATGCAGCCAGTGAATACCACAATAATAGTGGCATGGGAAATTTTGTCCAAGGACACCAGCAGCAAACTCCTGCTATGGAGAAGAGTGCCAGGGCCTCTGTTTTAAGGCTGCATTGGACAAACTTCCATGTAACTTAATGGACTTCAATTTATCTACCTCAGGGTGGCCCAAATCCATCTGGGTCAAACCTATGGTTCTGGGAGTATTTCATTCATCACCCGTAGGCTTCTAAACAATCCCCATCTGCACTGAGATTTCTTTCTTTTCTCTCCCTGTTTTACTGTCTCATATGTAAAATACTAAGGACCAACAACAACCAACAACTTCAACCAAGAATGTAACCATTTCCTCAGGGGAAAAACACATGTAATACAGATATAAAAAACAGATAAGTTTCCAAGGGCTCACCAACTCAGAATGGAGTCTGTTCACTTCCTGAGCTTGATCCAGGAGTTTCCCCTTCAGATTTTCAACCTGTCAACACAGGCACAAGTTGACTAAGCTGGTCCCCTTTTTATTTTGACCACAAACACCTCCTCCCAACACACACCATCTCAAATTACACACAGCTTCACTTGAAGCTGCAATGCTCCGGCACAAAAATAAGGGGCTTTAAGGCCCAGAGGGAAAAATCATGAATTTCCTACAAGCCACACAGAGCCAGACCGATAGACTGGGTAGTTACGAGTTGCAGAACCCCCCACCCCAGAGAAAGCAATGTCCAAGACTACCAAGCTGGCCCTGAGAAGACAACGAACCATACCAGCAATCCCCAAATTACATGGGGTGCTATTCATCAAACAAGCAACGCACTCTCTTTATTTCTGCTAACATGACTGTAGAATACCATGTAGGCAGCTTTTCTGGAGAGAACTGGGTACATAGCAGCCCTGGCTAACTGTGAGCTGCCACTGAAAACATCAACAGAAAGTGGGAACATAAAAAGATTCAAGCTGGAAAGGAAATAGACTTATTTGGTCCCTTACTCCACACCTGCGATCAGCGCAGATACCTGGCAGTATCTTCTCCAATGCAGTTTTAGTTCCAAATAATGGGCCCCCCACCACTGCCCTGGAGCAAATCATTCCTCAGAGTGAGAGCACACTGTTAGGACTATTTCCTGATATTCAGCAAAAGTTTTCTTTGCTCAGTTTCATCCCATTTCCTCTGATAATTGCTTGCACGTTTGAGTGCTACCCACACCAAATACTCATTTTTTGCCTCAATGCACGTTTGAGGATTAAAAATAAAAAAAGATTTTTTTTTCAGGTAGCCTCCTCTACCACATGAGCATTTTGACAGCTTGTCCTCCATTCTTTCACCAACTCTTGGGAGAAACTTTAATGGATAAATAATGTTGTTTCTTATTGGAGAAATCTTCCACCCCAACTGTGCTCAGAGATCAAATCGTCCCCTCCTTGCCAGGGGTCTTTGCTTTCCTGTATCATAAAAACGACCATACTGAGTCAGATCAAAGGTCCATCTATCCCAGTGTCCTGTCTTCCAACAGTGGCCAATGCGAGGTGCCCCAGAGGGAATGAACAGAACAGGGAATCATCAAGTGATCCATCCCCTGTCTCCCATTCCCAGGTTCTGGCACTTTTTGATTTTTCTTCTAGGAAGATGTCTATTACTTTTTTTTTCTTGCAGTGGCTTTTAAATTCCTTTTATATGGTGAGGTTCGTGAAGGAGAATCCTCCTAAACAGACGTCAAAGAATATTTTTTTCCATGTACAGCACACCGTTCTCCTTCCATGTGTGTAAGGGATATCCGCTCCAGGGATACAGTAGATCGAAGTCTGTAAGCTGTGCTCAATTTGTCCCAGGGCTTGCTAGGACTGAGCCCCAGCACCTGGCAGCTTGGCAGTCCATAGCCCCGGCACCTCTGGGCTTGCTGCATCCGTTACGAATGTAAAAAAAATCACTCGAGCTGTGGCACCTCTTTCATTACAGATTAAGCCCTGGCTGGACGTTACTAGTATACCCATCTTCATACCGATGAACAAGAGAAGTGAGGGATTTTGGCAAAACGTACGGGATTTCTGCAGAGCTCTCACTTAGTTCTCTGCTCTACCTGGTCCTATTCTTCTATCGGTGTCAGACAAGGAAATCCACTGGAAAAAATGACTAACCTGAACCGCTGCAGTGCAGTCTCAGAAACATCACACCAGCTACACCGCAGGAGCCCATTATTTTGACTTTACAGCGCCCCCATTGTGTGCTGTGGCTTCACTAAAGACAAAATACAGCGTCCTCGCCCCCAAAGCACTTACACGGTATGGTCTCAATCCTGCAATGAGAGCCACACAGGCAGACCCCTGCACCTGTGCTGAGCCCCATTGACTCCAGAGGGGCTTCACACAGGTACAGTGGTCTGTCTGCCTGAAGCAACCTGCAGGATAATAGGCTAAATTTGACCAGAACAGGGTGATAAACGGTAAGGGGGACTTTTGCAGACGATTACACCACGCACATCATGTTTACCCTCAGGACAGCTGCAAGTGTCCAAATTTCAATATTTAAGAGACTGTCTGATGGGCAGCCTTTCTGTTCAACATTTAATGCTTCCTGTTGCCAGCCAAGAGAGCTGGGCTCTGTCTCATGGTCAGGGCTCTCAATCTCACAGGATGGCAGGAGTGGGAGGGTTATGGCAGCAATGCAGACACACAGATGGAACCTGAGTTACTCTAAGGTAGCGAGGGGATGCCTGACAAACTCCCAGAGGATTAGGATAAAGCCAGGACAAAACCTGTGTTTCAACAGCATCGGCCAGACCAAAAGGTGAGCTAAACCCTCTGACGCTGGCAAAGCAGGTGCCAGCTCATGCCGGGCCTCCATGTCTCAACTGAGCACTGACAAATACTTAGCTGGAATGAGGGTATGTCCACACTACAAGATTATATTGACCTAAGTTACACTGCCATAGCTCCACCACCATATTTACATCACTTCTGCATGTCCACACGACTCTCCTTGTGTGGGCAGTGCGCATCCCCACCAGGAGCGCTACGCCTCTTGTGGAGGCAGAGTTATTAAATTGGTGTCCTGGGTGAGTTACATCGGCGGGAGCAAAATTTTACAGTAGACTCTTACAGAGTTAGGTGGACATAAGCTGCCTAACTCTGTAACGTAGAGCAGGGCTCAGACTGGCTCACCTCTGTGTTCATAGAATCATAGAATCTCAGGGTTGGAAGGGACCTCAGGAGGTCATCTAGTCCAACCCCCTGCTCAAAGCAGGACCAACCCCAACTAAATCATCCCAGCCAGGGCTTTGTCAAGCCTGACCTTAAAAATATCTAAGGAAGGAGATTCCACCACCTCCCTAGGTAACGCATTCCAGTGCTTCACCACCCTCCTAGTGAAAAAGTTTTCCTAATATCCAACCTAAACCTCCCCCACTGCAACTTGAGACCATTACTCCTTGTTCTGTCATCTGCTACCACGGAGAACAGTCTAGAGCCATCCTCTTTGGAACCCCCTTTCAGGTAGTTGAAAGCAGCTATCAAATCCCCCCTCATTCTTCTCTTCTGCAGACTAAACAATCCCAGTTCCCTCAGCCTCTCCTCATAAGTCATGTGTTCCAGTCCCCTAATCATTTTTGTTGTCCTCCACTGGACATTTTCCAATTTTTCCACATCCTTCTTGTAGTGTGGGGCCCAAAACTGGACATAGTACTCCAGATGAGGCCTCACCAATGTCGAATAGAGGGGGGCGATCACATCCCTCGATCTGCTGGAAATGCCCCTAATTATACAGCCCAAAATGCCATTGGCCTTCTTGGCAACAAGGGCACACTGTTGACTCATATCCAGCTTCTCGTCCACTGTAACCCCTAGGTCCTTTTCTGCAGAACTGCTGCCTAGCCATTCGGTCCCTAGTCTGTAGCGGTGCATGGGATTCTTCCGTCCTAAGTGCACTTGTCCTTGTTGAACCTCGTCAGATTTCTTTTGGCCCAATCCTCTAATTTGTTTAGGGCCCTCTGTATCCTATCCCTACCCTCCAGTGTGTCTACCTCTCCTCCCAGTTTAGTGTCATCTGCAAACTTGCTGAGGGTGCAATCCACCCCATCCTCCAGATCATTAATGAAGATATTGAACAAAACTGGCCCCAGGACCGACCCTTGGGGCACTCCACTTGATACCGGCTGCCAACTAGACATGGAGCCATTGATCACTACCCGTTGAGCCCGACAATCTAAACAGCTTTCTGTTCACCTTATAGTCCATTCATCCAGCCCATACTTCTTTAACTTGCTGGCAAGAATACTGTGGGAGACTGTGTCAAAAGCTTTGCTAAAGTCAAGGAATAACAAGTCCACTGCTTTCCCCTCATCCACAGAGCCAGTTATCTCATCATAGAAGGCAATTAGATTAGTCAGGCATGACTTGCCCTAGGTGAATCCATGCTGACTGTTCCTGATCACTTTCCTCGCCTCTAAGTACTTCAGAATTGATTCCTTGAGGACCTGCTCCATGATGTTTCCAGGGACTGAGGTGAGGCTGACTGGCCTGTAGTTCCCAGGATCCTCCTTCTTCCCTTTTTTAAAGATGGGCACTACATTAGCCTTTTTCCAGTCATCTGGAACCTCCCCCGATCGCCATGAGTTTTCAAAGATAATGGCCAATGGCTCTGCAATCACATCCGCCAACTCCTTTAGCACTCTCGGATGCAGCGCATCTGGCCCCATGGACTTGTGCTCGTCCAGCTTTTCTAAATAATCCCGAACCACTTCTTTTTCCAAGGAGGGCAGGTCACTTCCTCCCCATGCTGTGCTGCCCAGTGCAGTAGTCTGGGAGCTGACCTTGTTCGTGAAGGCAGAGGTAAAAAAAGCATTGAGTACATTAGCTTTTTCCACATCCTCTGTCACTAGGTTGCCTCCCTCATTCAGTAAGGGGCCCACGCTTTCCTTGACTTTCTTCTTGTTGCTAACACACCTCAAGAAACCCTTCTTGTTACTCTTAATATCTCTTGCTAGCTGCAACTCCAGGTGTGATTTGGCCTTCCTGATTTCACTCCTGCATGCCCGAGCAATATTTTTTTTACTCTTCCCTGGTCATTTGTCCAAGCTTCCACTTCTTGTAAGCTTCTTTTTTGTGTTGAAGATCAGCAAGGATTTCACTGTTAAGCCAAGCTGGTCGCCTGCCATATTTACTATTCTTTCTACACATCGGGATGGTTTGTCCCTGTAACCTCAATAAGGATTCTTTACAATACAGCCAGCTCTCCTGGACTCCTTTCCCCCTCATGTTATTCTCCCAGGGGATCCTGCCCATCAGTTCCCTGAGGTTGTCAAAGTCTGCTTTTCTGAAGTCCAGGGTCCGTATTCTGCTGCTCTCCTTTCTTCCTTTTGTCAGGATCCTGAACTCGACCATCACATGGTCACTGCCTCCCAGGTTCCCATCCACTTTTGCTTCCCCCACTAATTCTTCCCAGTTTGTGAGCAGCAGATCAAGAAGAGCCCTGCCCCTAGTTGGTTCCTCCGGCACTTGCACCAGGAAATTGTCCCCTACACTTTCCAAAAACTTCCTGGATTGGCTGTGCACCGCTGTATTGCTCCCCAGCAGATATCTGGTGATTGAAGTCTCCCATGAGAACCAGGGCCTGTGATCTAGTAACTTCTGTGAGTTGCCCGAAGAAAGCCTCGTCCTCCTCATCCCCCTGGTCCGGTTGTCTATAGCAGACTCCCACCAGAACATCACCCTTGTTGTTCACACTTCTAAACTTAATCCAGAGACACTCAGATTTTTCTGCAGTTTCATACTTGAGCTCTGAGCAGTCATACTGCTCCCTAACATACAATGCAACTCCCCCACCTTTTCTGCCCTGCCTGTCCTTCCTGAACAGTTTATATCCGTCCATGACAGTACTCCAGTCATGTGAGTTATCCCACCAAGTCTCTGTTATTCCAATCACGTCATAATTCCTTGACATCACCAGGACCTCCAGTTCTCCCTGCTTGTTTCCCAGGCTTCTTGCGTTTGTGTATAGGCACCTGAGATAACTCGCTGATCGTCCCTCCTTCTCAGTATGAGGCAGGAGCCCTCCCCTCTCACGCGCTCCTTCTCATGCTTCCCTCCCGGTATCCCACATCCCCATTTACCTCAGGGCTTTGGTCTCCTTCCCCCAGTGAACCTAGTTTAAAGCCCTCCTCACTAGGTTAGCAAGCCTGAAGATGCTCTTCCCTCTCTTCATTAGGTGGAGCACATCTCTGCCTAGCACTCCTCCTTCTTGGAACACCATCCCATGGTCAAAGAATCCAAAGCCTTCTCTCCGACACCACCTGTATAGCCATTCGTTGACTTCCACGATTCGACAGTCTCTACCCGGGCCTTTTCCTTCCACAGGGAGGATGGACGAGAAGACCACTTGCGCCTCAAACTCCTTTATCCTTCTTCCCAGAGCCACGTAGTGTGCAGTGATCTGCTTAAGGTCATTCTTGGCAGTATCATTGGTGCCCATGTGGAGAAGCAGGAAGGGGTAGTGATCCGAAGGCTTGATGAGTCTCGGCAGTCTCTCCGTCACATCATGAATCCTAGCTCCTGGCAAGCAGCAGACTTCTTGGTTTTCCCAGTCGGGGCGGCAGATAGATGACTCAGTCCCCCTGAGGAGAGAGTCCCCAACCACCACCACCCGCCTCCTCCTCTGGGGAGCGGTGGTCGTGGAACCCCCATCCCTAGGACAGTGCATCTCATGCCTTCCAATTGGCGGAGTCTCCTTCTGTTCCCTTCCCTCAGATGTATCATCTAGTCCACTCTCCGCATTAGTACCTGATTAGTGTTAGTATTGTTAAAACAAGTATTCGAGTTCTAAAAATGGGCTTAGTGTCTAGACTTTATTGAAAGCCTGTAAACTGCTTTGTGCATTAATCTCCATTCTAACATCTGTACACCATATTGTAAGGTAATATTTGCGCATTTGCATTGTAAACCTCTGTAGCTGTGTCAGTCACCAGATTGGCAAGAGACATTAGTTAGTGTGTAATGCTGGCCTACAACACAAGGTGTCGTGTCCTGTCCCACAGAGAAGGCCCATCAACACTAGAAGAACTATTGTGGAACATCAAAGAAGATAAAAGACTTTGCTGATTGCTCCCCCCACCCCCACCCCCACCCCGCCAGCCCCGTGGAAGAGGAGACATGCAAGTGAATTCCTCCCATCAGCAAAAACAACGAGGAGTCCTTGTGGCACCTTAGTGACTAACCAATTTATCTGAACATAAGCTTTCGTGGGCTAGATGTTTATGCCCAAATAAATTTGTTAGTCACTAAGATGCCACAAGGACACCTCGTTGTTTTTGCTGACACAGACTAACATGGCTACCCCTCCGAATCCTCCCATCAGGTGAGCTGGTAGCTCAAACATCCCTACAAAGGAGAAACTGTAACTCTATTCTGCTTAGACTCTAGAGGGCAAGATTTCTAGGCATAAGCATGCGGTCCCCCAGCTGCTTAACGTAGGCTAGCCCTAAGGTACATATAGAGCTTGCTTATTATACAAACTTCTATTACCTTTAGGAGTGTGTGTACATTTACCTGCTTTAACCTTGTAAATAACTCTTTTGTTTCCTTTTCTTAGTTAATAAATCTTTAGATAGTTTGACAGGACTGGCTACAAGCTTTATCTTTAGTGCGAGATCTAAGGTGCAACTGACCTGGAATACATGACTGGTCCTTTGGGTCTGGGAGTAACCGGACTACTGTCTCAGAGTAGCAGCCGTGTTAGTCTGTATCCGCAAAAAGAACAGGAGTACTTGTGGCACCTTAGAGACTAACCAATTTATTTGAGCTACAGCTCACTTCAGTCTCTAAGGTGCCACAAGTACTCCTTTTCTTTTTGCGGACTACTGTTGTGAGTTTTGGTGTAGGGCATCATCTAGCACAAAAGCTAACTTGCCTAGGTTGAGTACCCAAGGGAACCATCTGTGACTCCATGGTTAGGCTGTTATGTTGCCTGAGAAGTTTACACTTAATAGGTGAAATCTAAGTATAGAACTCATTGCCAATTTGGTGTTTGTCACCTGCTTCTCAACAGTCTGCCCTGGGGTTGGTACCCACACTCTTGAGCCACTCCAGGACAGCTTGACAACCTTCCCCTCTCTCCCCTGCACCACACACACACACTTCAGACTTCTCCTAAGTTTACATTCTGGCTCTCAGACCCACCTCTTTGATTGGTGTAGAAGCAGGGTCTTTAGACACAAAGATCTGGTGGTGTGCACTTCTCCATATAAAGACCCCAATTCTATTTTCCCCCATCTTAGTGCTCAACGCAGAATGAAGACTGGGGTGGCCAAAAGTGGTCCCAAAGTAGCTGAAGAGTGCTCTGCCCCCTGGCTTTAGTCAGAGCTATCTCAAAAGGTCTCTAACAAATCTTTTGCTTCTCATGCCTCCCTATGAGAGCAGACAGAGCAACGTGCACTCAAACCACACCCCTTCCCTCTCCCTGGGATAACCGTTACCGACCCTGGACACATACCCTAAAACAGGAGCTAAGAGGTGGGTCTATGGAGCTTTTACATCAGCTTGGAAAGTCCCCTGTGCTTGGAGTGGATCCCTCCAGAGAACTGAACCCAAACAGTCTTTCCACGATGGAGTTACTATAAGTGGTCTGACTCCCTGTGACAATTAATACCAGTTTTTATTTTTTAGCTTATAATAAAGGATCTCAATTTTTTCCTAAAGAGTGAACCATTTCTTAACAGAAAAAGACTCTCATTAGTGCTTCCCCTCCACCTGTGATCATGGAACATCCCTGTGGCAGCCACAGCGGGCAAGTACAAGGGAAAGAAATGTTAGCAGACTATTCACATACTTCAGCTTCTTTTAATAGCATTTAACAGCTGGAAACAAAGAGAAGGAGCTATTACCATGTGACCACCCAGCTCTCTGCAGCCCCTCAGTGATCTGTGGACCACAGTTTGGAACTGTTTCAGAGTAGCAGCCGTGTTAGTCTGTATTCGCAAAAAGAAAAGGAGTAAAATAAATTTGTTAGTCTCTAAGGTGCCACAAGTCCTCCTTTTCAGTTTGGAACTGCTGACTTAAAACAAATACATGTTTACATTATGCTACAATTAATTAAGCTCACTTTAAGTTACACCCATCTAATGAGGTGAAGTTAGAATGAGTACTTAAATACATGGTATTAACATATTCTGAGATTCATAGATTCATAGATATTTAGGTCAGAAGGGACCATTATGATCATCTAGTCTGACCTCCTGCACAACGCAGGCCACAGAATTTTACCCACCACTCCTGCGAAAAACCTCTCACCTATGTCTGAGCTACTGAAGTCCTCAAATCGTGGTTTAAAGACTTCAAGGAGCAGAGAATCCTCCAGCAAGTGACCCGTGCCCCATGCTACAGAGGAAGGCGAAAAACCTCCAGGGCCTCTTCCAATCTGCCCTGGAGGAAAATTCCTTCCTGACCCCAAATATGGCGATCAGCTGAACCCTGAGCATATGGGCAAGATTCATCAGCCAGATACTACAGAGAATTCTTTCCTGGGTAACTCAGATCCCACCCCACACTTGCTGTTCCATTTAAAAAAGTACACTGAGAAGTCATACACTGCCTAACAATTACGCTTTTATAAAGACAAACTTCGACAAAACCGAAGACCAATAGAATTAGGCGTTTGTTTTTAAACAAGAGAGCCCCAGATACGGCAGCACTGTGCAAGTGCATGAGAACCAGGAAGTGAAGAAAAAAGTTTAAAAAGTTGCGACTGACTGAGCTGTTTTCACTGTCCAACCTGAGAGAAATGCAAAGAACAGATCTAATGGATTAAAAATCACTCAGAATAATTAATCTTTTAATATCCATACCTTAGATTTTAATCATTTTACTTCCCTTTAATACTGAAATTTTACACTATTTCAAAGCAACAACAGCATCTCTCTAAAAAGAGTCAAAACCTATGGACACTTACAATAGTTGGTCCTTACAGTGTGGACACAAAAAACAAGTAAAAAAAAATCAAAAGCAAGTCTGCATTACACATAGCCATCTATCCGGGAATGGATTTATACACTTCATACCATTCCAACGTCAGCCAGGCAGTCACCCTAGGTCAGTCTTGAAATGTCTTTAGAATTAATAGTATTTGCAGACAAGCATTCACCTGTGATACAAATGCCACTCAGAATAAGTGATTATCAGTACATTTAACATCAGCGTTTGTTTAACCCTAAATTCATTAGCAGAAAACTCACAGTGTTAAATTAGAAAATACCAGCTCATCTCTCTTCCTCAGCTGAAGATGAAGACAACCACAGGAGACACTGATTCACTTCTCCTGCAGTGGAGACCCACCCCTTCCTGCAAAAATAGGTGGAGCCTGGTTGCTTGCCTGGTTAGACCTCACTGGTTGTATCTGCAGCCTGGCCACAATTGCTAGAAATGACACCCACTGGTTTTCTTAGCTAGGTCTGGCACGTAGGTGTGGCCTTTGTATCTCTTAGCCTTTAAACAGGTTTCAGAGTAGCAGCCGTGTTAGTCTGTATTTGCAAAAAGAAAAGGAGGACTTGTTTCCTTTTCCTAGTTAATAAATCTTTAGATAGTTTGACAGGACTGGCTTCAAGCTTTATCTTTAGTGCGAGATCTAAGGTGCAACTGACCTGGTATACATGACTGGTCCTTTGGGTCTGGGAGTAACCGGACTACTGTCTCAGAGTAGCAGCCGTGTTAATCCGCTACTCTGGAGGACTTGTGGCACCTTAGAGACTAACAAATTTATTTGAGCATAAGCTTTCGTGAGCTACAGCTCACTTCATCGGATGCTGTAGCTCACGAAAGCTTATGCTCAAATAAATTTGTTAGTCTCTAAGGTGCCACAAGTCCTCCTTTCTTTTAGCCTTTAAAGCCTCTTTAAAGAAATGGGACATGTTAATTTATCCTTCTCCTTTGTCCACATGCTAACTAGATGTTTTTCCCTAGCAGAGATTTGCCTCCTGTATACAATGTCACTCTCTCTCTCTCTCTGTCAGCTGGTATAGGGCCAGATTCTGCTTTAACTTATGCACACTGGTGTCATACAGAGTAACCCAACTGAACTCTATACAATTATTCGGTCATGTTTAGATCTGTGTAATTAAGAGCAGAATCAGACCATAGTTACATCTAGAGTTATAAACCAACCCCCCTTCCCACTGTAGTCCCACTTTCTCACAAATAAATACTATTTTTTTTGAATGGGCGGTGGTTACCAGTGTTGCACAATCTTGCTACACTTTGACAAACAACCAGGTAATGACTTTAAAACATCTGTTGTTTTTTCTTAGAAACCAAAGAATGTCTTTGTACTTCATGCACCACCCTTTTCCCCACATCCACCCACCCACATACCTATTCTCTTATCAGTTTTCTCCTTCTCAGCTGGAAAACTGATTTTTAAATGTGTTTTTTACTTCCTGCCTTTTGAATGACACTAGAATTAACTTGCTTATTTCATACCACAAACCTATCGTGCTGGGCCCTTTGTACACTAGTATAATGGAGAATCACAGCATAGCTCTGAGAGTAGGTTTGCTAGGCAGCAATACTTGGTGCTTAACGAGCTCTTTTCATCAAAGGATTTATAAGCACTTCATGAGATTATTGAAATGCCACAAAACTGATTCAGAGGAAGATTAGACAGGGAACCTGAAGCATGCAGCTGCTTAGTGACTTGTTCAAAATCAGAAAAAGCCAAAGGCAGACCTGTGAATAGAACTCAAAGTCCTCATTCCTAGAGTCCTGCCCTAACCACTAGACCAGCAGTTTTCAAACTCTCTGAGCTCAGCCCCCGCTTTCAGTTACAATTTTTGATTGCGTCTCCCCCGCAACCCAGACCAAAAAAAGAGGTGAGTTGGGGTGGAGGTGGCACCCGCCACACCAGGCTGAAGTCCAAGCTGCCTGGCGTCACCGCTCCCCCCAACATTCCTCCATGACTCCTGCACTAGACCTGTGAGTTGACTGCTGTTACACAGAGCCAACAAAGGGAGCACAACACATTGTGTATCTAGGTCTTGCAAAATATCTGCTTTAAAATATGTGTTTCTTAGCAACAGAACAACTGGCTCTCTGGATGAGGGGAAAGCGGTGGACATGTTATTCCTTGACTTTAGCAAAGCTTTTGACACCGTCTCCCACAGTATTCTTGCCAGCAAGTTAAAGAAGTGTGGGCTGGATGAATGGACTACAAGGTGGATAGAAAGCTGGCTAGATTGTCGGGCTCAACGGGTAGTGATCAATGGCTCCATGTCTAGTTGGCAGCTGGTATCAAGTGGAGTGCCCCAAGGGTCTGTTCTGGGGCCAGTTTTGTTCAATATCTTCATTAATGATCTGGAGGATGGCGTGGATTGTACCCTCAGCAAGTTTGCAGATGACACTAAACTGGGAGGAGAGGTAGATACGCTGGAGGGTAGGGATAGAATACCAAGGGCCCTAGACAAATTAGAGGATTGGGCCAAAAGAAATCTGATGAGGTTCAACATGGACAAGTGCAGAGTCCTGCACTTCGGACGGAAGAATCCCATGTACCGCTACAGACTAGGGACCGAATGGCTAGGCAGCAGTTCTGCAGAAAAGGACCTAGGGGTTACAGTGGACGAGAAGCTGGATATGAGTCAACAGTGTGCCCTTGTTGCCAAGAAGGCCAATGGCATTTTGGGATGTATAAGTAGGGGCACTGCCAGCAGATCAAGGGACGTGATCGTTCCCCTCTATTCGACATTGGTGAGGCCTCATCTGGAGTACTGTGTCCAGTTTTTGGCCCCACGCTACAAGAAGGATGTGAAAAAATTGAAAAACGTCCAGTGGAGGGCAACAAAAATGATTAGGGGACTGGAACACATGACTTATGAGGAGAGGCTGAGGGAACTGGGATTGTTTAGTCTGCAGAAGAGAAGAATGAGGGGGGATTTGATAGCTGCTTTCAACTACCTGAAAGGGGGTTCCAAAGAGGATGGATCTAGACTGTTCTCAATGGTAGCGGATGACAGAACAAGGAGTAATGGTCTCAAGTTGCAGTGGGGGAGGTTTAGGTTGGATATTAGGAAAACTTTTGCACTAGGAGGATGGTGAAGCACTGGAATGCGTTACCTATGGAGGTGGTGGAATCTCCTTCCTTAGAGGTTTTTAAGGTCAGCCTTGACGAAGCCCTGGCTGGGATGATTTAGTTGGGGATTGGTCCTGCCTTGAGCAGGGGGTTGGACTAGATGACCAGGTCCCTTCCAACCTTGAGATTCTATGATTCTATTCTATGATTCTGTGATTCTATAAGAGGAATTAGATCAGATATTGAGTGTGAGAGCACTTGGAACATAGCAATTTACACATAAGTTACAATGTTGGCCTAAACACCTTGGTCGAGATCCTCAAAGGTATTTAGGCACTTAACTGCCTTTGAAATCAATGGAAGCTAGGAACCTAATACCTTTTGGGATCTGGACCCTGAAAAATGTCTCAGTTCACTCCCAGAGTTCTTCCTCCCCCATCTTGTGCAGTACCTGATCTTGCAGCTGGACAGACACAGCAAGTTCTTCATTCTGCCGTGCAGAAAGTTTCTCCTGCAGTGCCAGCAGCTCTTCCTGCAGCTGCAGCTTCTCCTCCTGCAGCTGGGCCATAGACTCCACCATCTTCTGGATCATAGGAAACTGACGTGCTCCTGACAAGCTGGAGCATTTCCCACCGAAGAATCTTCCGCCTGCAACAAGAAGAGTGTTAGCATTACATTTACAAAGCAGCAGGTAGGTGTGAATGTATGGAGGTTGTCAGACAGACGCACGCCAGGAGAGGCCAGTAAGTGTGGACTAAAAGTAGGACCCACTAACTGACTAAAGTGGAGCAGGATATGTGAAGACAAAAAGAAAAGGTCCATAACAGCAGTGAAAACCCCAGATTCCTTCCTGAGCAGCACGGGCTAAACATGGTGTAGATGCAGAGGACCATTTCATGACTCCAGTAACCACCCGCTGCTCCAATCAATGCTCTGAGGGAAAGAACCAGCAGTGAAGCTCGGGGCAGTTCTGCCGGCCCCCAGAAGGAGCTGCAGGGATGCTCCAGATACAGAAGATGAATCATTTGATTGGAAGCTTTTTCCTGAAATAAGTGCGTACACCTTTGAACAGTAAGTTGTTTGAGAGTTCCATGCACACTGACAGACCCAAAACAAGGCTGTGATTCTGTAAGCACGTATGCATGTGCCAAACTAGTCGTGTGAGCGGTCTCACTGAGCGTAGCAGGACTACAGAGTACCCCCAGAGTAAAGTCACACGCATGCTTAAGTGCCTGTAGGATCAGGGCTGAAGAAAGTGTCGCAGAAGGCATTTGAGACAAATCCTGACAATTCAATACCTTCAAATATTTTTTTAATTGTCTTTAAAAGATGTTCAGTTCGTCATAGATGGAAAATGGTGGCCACTGAGCCAATGGAAGCATGTGGGGAACAGTGTTCCATGCCCAGAGACGCAAGCGCACGTGTGAGAGAAACAACAGTGTGTGTCAGCAATGACACAAACGTCACATCTCCACAGTCACAACCCCCCAGGAAACTCTCTGTTGGCGTTTGGCTGGTGGAAAGTACACTGTGAGCACACAAGCATGTGATGTTCATAAATACCCCACTGCTTCTGAGCCCCGGGCTGAGGAGTTCATCACCTGCTGACTTCCACATTCCTGGCTCCACGAGCAAGAAAGAAAACACACAGACAGAGCCCGTGATTTCATTTAACACGTAAAAAAAAAATGCGTTGGGGCAAACTGAGGAAAATAACCCAATACACCCTTCACAATGGACAATAGTTCTACCAAGAAGGGGGGCTGAGCCAAGGGGACTACAAGGCATTTCACTCTTGGCTGTGGCCAGCAAGTGAAGGAGAGCACCAGCCACAATCCAAAGCATGATACAAAAGGCTATCTAGTGAAGAGAATAATACTGAGAGGTAGTAAAGCAATCTCCTTCCTCCATGCCACATGCCGTAATCTCCTAACAGTGCTCCATGGTCACATCTCACTCATTTTCCCCACTCAGCTCCTATTTGTAACAATCTGGCCCTACAAAACAGTAAGGGCAGGTCTGGTCTGCAGCTCCTATCGACATGTCTAAGTACTTACATTGCCCTCATAATGGTAGTATCTAAGCACCTCAGAGTCGTCGGTGGATCTTATCCTCACAATACCACTATGAGGCAGAGAAGTACTATCCCCCTTTTTAACTTTACAGATAGATTCAATAACTTGCCCAAAGTCACATATGACGTCTGTGGCTGAGCCAGGACTCAAACACATCTCTCATAAAGGCCTTGTCCAGTGACCTACCCACTAGTCCACCCTGCCTTTGCAAGGCCCTTATTTCTACCCTACTCTCAAGTCCCTCAGGTAATGTCAGGCTTTACTATTCATATTTTTTAATTCAGAAGAACAAAAAAAAAAATTGCACGAACTCCTACATTCAGATGCCTTGATCGAAAACCAGTGGCAGGTGAGGGAGGGTCTGACAGTGGCTGCAATTCACAGTGGACAAACAACCTGGAAAAGTGAGGCGTTGTGGGAGGAAAGTGCCCTGCTATTTTCTCACTGCGCTGCCTTCATGGTAAGAGAACTGATGCCATAAGAGACTCAGCAGTGAGGAAACAAAAGGCACCTCACAGCTCCTCAGGCTTTGTTGTTTTAACTTAAATTAATTATGAAGGGAGCATTATTTTTTGGAAGCAGGTTGTGGGTGGCTTTATATGGTTTATATTATATTTGGGCTTGTATTTTTGATTGGAGAAAGGCTGCAGATATCCCCTATTATATAGACATATATGTTCATCGAGACCTAGCTATGCATACATTGTAGCTCTTGTAACTAACCCTTAAAGTACTTGCTAATTCCCAGGTGAAAGTAAAGGGACTGGCTAGTTCCCAGGATTTGGGGTGACACTACAAGGAGGCGCTATGGTGGTGAGGAGGGAGAATCTGTGGCCATAAGAAAGAGAGATTGGGTCAGGATTCCAGCCTGCCATGAGCCTAATACTACCCTGCCCTGCCTCTCACCTGGTTTAAATAAGCCCTACTGGAAATGACACAGTTCTGTGGCTTTAAGGGCAAATAATGGGGCTAGTAATTGTCTGGCTAACTGCAAGCAGCCGAAGTTGCTTGCTTTATGAAAAGCGTATTTATCAGAAGAAGCTGCTTTTGCTGCAAAACTAAATTTTGTTCCCCGTAAGCATTTGGTAGCTCGGTCTCTTTTTAAGACACGTTTGGACCACATGGAAGTGTTTAATATACCAGCTGTGGGCCTTTGACGTGTCTAGAGAAGTTATGAGATAATGGTGTAAGCAAAGGGCTGAAAAGCAGGTATTGAGTTCTAATCCTAGCTTCGTCACTGATTTGGTGTGTGACCATGGCCAGTTCGAAGACGTAACAAGATCCAATGGCTGAATTCAAACTAGAAATAAGATGCATGCCAAGGGTTGTGGTGGATTCTCCATCACTGGAAATTGTTTAATCTAGATTGGACGTTTTTCTAAAAGGTATATTCTAGTTCAAACGGGAACTAATTTGGGAAAGTGCTATGGATACAGGCGGTCAGAGCGGATGATCAGCCTGATTCCTTTTGGCCTTGTAGTCTACGAATAGGGCCAATATTTTCACAAGTGACCACTGATTCTGGGTGGCATTTTGCCTTAATTTTTGGATGCTTGAGACACCTTGAGAGTGACTCAAGTTGGGGGTCCAAAAGCAATGTGCACTTTTGTTGGCTTTTAACCTCTCTTAGTACCTGAGTTTCTCTGTATGTAAAAGAGGGATAATATCTACCAGATGGGATAACATCCACCAGACGTTAAGAAAAGAACCTGTAAAGTGATATATAAACGCAAAGTGTTGTTCCTTTTGGAGCATTCTCACCTCAAAAGTGTTATCCTAGGTTTAAAGGAGATGTCAGGGCACGTATGAAACCACTGTGTATCTGTGTGTATTATCCATTTTAATCCTGTGCTGGGACACTGAATCCTTCTGCTAGGGAATATAAACCATTCCATTTAAAACCATGGCAATTGTACCCAACTTAATTCAAACAAAGCGTGGCATTTTTCTATGCTTTGAACATGTTCCCCTTTGGTACAGGGTATATCATCTGTTCCAACATGTTATTCTCCAGAAACCATTCTTGGGAAACCGGAGGCTTGGAAAGGCAGGTCTGCCAATGGAGCAGGCTGGCCTACATTATATAACTTACCACACGGACTTACTGGTTGGGAAGCTAATTACACAGCAGTATTCTATGTATGCTAGAGTTCAAAGCTAGGCAGACACTTCATACTGTGAGTTACACACACACAGCTAGCTCTGCAACACAGACTTCCATGCTTGTTCTGAAAAACTTTTAAAGTGGACATCAGTGACTTCCACAAAGGCTGCAGTAAGATGTGTACAGTACCCAAGTATTCACAAAACATGTTGATTATGTACAGGGCAGATCAGACCATAGGATTTATATGGGGCATTTAACACTGAAATTGTTTAGAAGGTGCTGAGGTAGCCAGCCGTTGATGTGCAAAGCATACAAATGAAATCTCCTGTTATTTCAACACTTTCTGGCTTTTCAGCTTTTTATAGCTCGGGCCCTACCAAATTCACAGCCTTGAAAAACGCATCACGGACCGTGAAATCTGGTCTCCCTCTGCAAAATCTGGTCTTTTGTGTGCTTTTACCCTATACCATACAGATTTCACGGGGGAGACCAGTGTTTCTCAAATTGGGGATCCTGACCCAAAGGGAGTTGCGGGGAAGGGGGGGGGTCACAAGGTTATTTTAGGGGGGGGTCGCAGTATTGCCACCCTTACTTCTGTGCTGCCTTCACAGCTGGGAGGCTGGAGAAGGGCGGCTGTTGGCCGGGCGCCCAGCTCGGAAGGCAGCGCCCTGCCAGCAGCAGGGCAGAAGTCAGGGTGGCAACACCAGGCCAGGCCATCCTGACTTCTATGCTGCTCCTGGCGGGGGCTCTGCCTTCCGCTCTCCAGCTGCCCAGCTCGGAAGGCAGCGCCCCCACCAGCAGCAGGGCAGAAGTAAGGGTAGCCGTACCGCAAACCCCTCCTCCCCCCTACAACTCCTTTTTGGGTCAGGACCCCTACAGTCACAACGCCGTGAAATTTCAGATTCAAATAGCTGAAATCATGAAATTTTACGATTTTTAAAATCCTATGACCGTGAAATTGACCAAAATGGACGTGAATTTGGTGGGGCCCTATTTATAGCTGACTGTGTGGTATCTTGAGCCTCTCTATTTGGCATCTTGCCAACCATTTGCCAGAGAATGGGGAGCGTATAAAGCAGGAAAGCCTGCTTCACCTACGAGCAAAGCCAGTAAAAAGCTCAAGGAGCATTAGCAGATGGAGGGATCAGCAAAGTTCAGAGGAGCCTTTTGCCTCGGGTGGGCCCAGCTAGAAGAGCAGCTAAAGGCTTAGCGAAGCGGCAGGGGGAGCAGGGGCAGCACAGGAGGAAATAACTCAGCAGCAGCAGGGGGGTTCAGAGAAGGGGGTACCACGGACTTGTGAAGATAAATTCTAGGTCTAACTCACTGTATACTTACTCCAGCTACGTCATTTTCACACGCTAGTTCCCCTGCCTGAGAAGAAAGTTGCAGTTCATGTGTCTGCCTACTCTTTGCATCACTGTTTGTCTCTTGGAACCTGACATCTCCAGCTGGCAGGCCTTCCCCCTTTCTTAAGCTCCTTCCTGTTTCTGTCACTGAGACGCCTCTTCTGTCTAACATGCTTGGTGCTCTCACGCACACGCTCTGTCCTGAGGCCCGCTCAGGGCGGAGAGAGACATCTCCCACAGATAACCCAGTAAGTTCTAAACCAGAGTACAGCAGGGAGTGGCTCACTCTGGTGTGTCTGGACAAGCCCAGGTAATGAGTTTCTGATGGAGAAAATAAATAATAGGAATCAAAATCCAACTTGCAGCACAGTTTCTGCGTAGCTTCTTCCTCACCAGGGACACGAGGCCTGAATCTGCACAATAGGAATAACCCCCAGAAGTCAATGGAGTTAAACTGGCATGAGTGGATAAGAATCAGATCTGCCATTTCTCTCAGAAAGGTGAATACGCTTCCATGCACCTTTAGTGAAAAGCTCTTCCTTCACCTCCTTTTCCCTGCCAACAGACTCCAAGCCTGAGGAGACACTTACATTCGCTGGACTCTTGTACGAGCAATGTTGCCTCTGGAAGGATGGGAAGCGGGACAAAAGGAGCAATAAGGACTCCATTTCTGCCAAATCCACATTGTCCACTTTGGAAGTTAACCAGCGAGAGGGATAAAAAAGCTCCGAATAACCATCAAGAGTAGACCAGCCTCTTGAACACATTACAGTGGACACTGTCCTCAGCACTTGCAGGACAGCAAAGACGAGGTCCCACATTTGAGCTGTCAGTTTAACTGCGTAAGATTCAGAAGAGCATCTGGGCAAGAAGCAGCTTTCAAAGCAAGAAGTATAATCTTCTGAAATGCCATTTATCTCCTCTAGTGGGAAGGGGGCTGAAGACAAAACCAGAACATTTAAACGAGACCCAAGAGCACAGGGACACGTGCCGGCACTACTAGGCGAAACAGACACAGAACAGGATAAAAACTCAGGCCGAGGGGATGCAAGAGAGCAGGGATGAAGAGGAAAGGAGGCGGCAATGCACTCGGAGGGAATAGGTGGTTATAACTGTGCTGTGATAACATTTCCTTAAAAGACAAGAAATAAACAAGATCATTCTGCTTCAGATCAAAGGTTAGATTCATCTGTCAGTGACCAAGCTCAGCTCATTTTTGTTACCTGCCTGCAAACACCTGGTTTGCATTTGATCCCTCTTGAGTCAAACTGATTCCCTAACGAGTAATCAGTTTCTATTTATATAAAAGAATCATTGCATTAGCTGTGAGCTGAGGAAATTCACTTACCCCCTAGCTCATTTCACTAGGAAGCAGTTTCTTTCTGATTGTGTTGCCTTAAGACAGAGATCGGCGTAAGAATTAATGGCCACCAATTTTCATGCCTCCCCCTTTACCTGTTTTCTCAAAGTTCATGCTGCAGGCTTCCTGGCCCTGTGCTCCAGCGTCCCAGTTGAGAGCAGACCCCGGCCTCTTCTCTATGCCCAGCTTCTGGGTCCTACACTGAGTCTGTGGCTGATGATGCGTCTCTTCGTTCTTCACCTGACTCTTGTCCTTGCACAACTTGTCCTGCAAGGCCTGCATTCAAAACACAACCATTTTCCCTTTAAAGGGCATTGTAACTCAAGAGGGCACAAACCATCCCTAGACTTCTTATCACAGACTGAGCGAGATTTTGACTGAGTGAGATTTTGAAAGGTCACCCTGTGCCCCAGGGTATTTAAATCATTACAGGTACCTCAGTATCACACAGTATTTCAAGATATATTTCTGCTGTCTTCACATCTTCTTTGCTTCCCTGCACCACTCTGATCTGGTCAACTCCCTGCCTGCTAAACCAAACTCCTTCCATTGTCATTCCAACCTAATCAAACTCCAGCCTGTGCCATCCCACTAAAGCCATCGGTGCCCTCTTCCCCAGTGACCTCCTATGTTCTCCCACACTTTCCCTCCAGCTTTCAGCTCTCATCAACCTCAGGTTTCCAAAAGGTCAGTCACAAGGCAAAAGACAAGAAGCAGCATACACATGGTCTCAAATACAAACTACAGACTGGAAATCAGCATCTCTCATCGCGGGCATTTTTCAAAGTTCTGAAAACTATTTTGGAGAGAAAGGAACAAGGAGAAGACAGGCAGGGGACAGAAAATTAGATGGCAATGTAAGAAAAAAGTGACACTAATTACAGTGACTGAGGCGGATCCATTCATCGCATAGCAGGTGATTTCCTGATTGCAATCAGGCGAGCCAAGCCAAGGTTGATGGGGAAAAGGAGGAAGGGGAAAAAAATCCATTTCAGCAGGAAAGAAACCAGACAGAGTGAATCAGAAACCAGCGACAGAAAAGATGCATTAAGTCCTTTAGTCCATGTAGCCCCAGACATGGTTCCGTGCAGGGATTATTCCTCTCACTAAATTTGCTGGTGTTTTGTCCAGCCTAGTTTCAGATCACCCAAGCAATGAGGCTTCCACCACGTTCCTCAGGAGACGTTACCAGAGCTTTACAGATTTCAGTGTCAGGAAGTTTTCATTGACATTCAATCTCGATTTTCCTTTCCTTAATTTCATCCCATTCCTCCTAGTTACACCCCCATCCTTGAACCACCTTAAACAAGTCCTCACTCTCCTTAATATTTGAATCCTATTGGTAGATAGTCATGTCCCTTCCTACCTTTGTTGTGGTTTAGCCAAAATGCACATGTTTAGTTTAGTCTGTCCTTTAATCTAGCCTCATAAATCAATGCCTCTCACTTCTAAATCACATTTACTATTCTCTGTATTCTTTCCAATTTGCCAGCACCTAACTGGTTGAGAGGGACCCAGCCCTGTACACAGTATTCCAGTTGGCGTAGTCGTTCTACAGACTGTCAACTCTGCGTTCCATCACATGTTGTTTCTGAATTCACGCTGGCTTTTTCTGCTGCTCTATCATACTGTAAGCTCATTTCCGTGGGCCATTTAACTACAATGAGCCACTGTTCAGAGGCACGGATTTGGAGCAAGCCTAACTTCTAACAGTTTTACCCAAGTATAGCAGATCTGGAAGGATGCAGAGAAATAAGGGGATTATAGTAATTTATGTAACAATTATTCAGTACCCTGAAAAAAAAAATCTACATTCTTCTCCATTCCAGCCTTCTCCTTTCTGCTACCCTAGGAAGGATTACACTGTTTCTGGTGCGGTGCGAGGACTACCTTAACGGCCTGCAGACAGGACTGTGAAGCTGTTTCTACAGGGACAATTATAGGGATTTCTCCGCTGTAGCTCTAATGCCAGCACTAACAGCGATGCGGGCACGAGTGCAGGCCGGGCTCGAGCATTTTCACCCTCACGTCGTCTAAAAGCAAGTGGAGATGACAGAGTGGTAACAGCACTCTCTCCTTTGCTGTCACCAGTGGAATTGTTCTGGGGCTGGAGCAACGTTGGAAGGTTTTCTGGAAACGGTCAGCGTGGACAAGGTTTTGGTGTAATCTGTTCCCTGACTGAGACTTGAGAATTTTCCCCCACCCCGTTCAGAAGCTACTTTTACGAGTTACACTGTATCTATAATGTTCTGAAATAGGCAAGTTTTACCGGTAAAACTTGGTAGAGTAGACCAGGCTTAAGATCAGAAAGCCCTGTACAATAGGTGAGCGGCGTCCCACGAATAAGTCCCTGCCCTGAAGAGCATAAACCTGAAAGGCATGAGTGAGTACAATACTCAACACAAAATGGTGAATGGTTATTACAACTGGAACGTTTCTGAATTTAACTTCAAGATGAGGGAGAGCAATTCTCAGTCCGCAGCCAGAAAACAATACGTTGCATTTCTATAGTACCTGTCATCCCGCATTCACGAAGCACTTTACAAAAGGTAATTTCTGAAGCTATACTACGCTCCTGTGAAACACATAGGTATTGTCTCCATTGTATAGAGACATGGATTAAGTGGATAGCCTTCAAGGGAAGCAGTGGGGGCAAAAGATCTATCTGGCTTTAAGATTAAACTCGATAAGTTTATGGAAGAGATGGTATGATGGGATAACATGGTTTTGGTAATTAAATATTCATGGTAAATAGGCCCAGTGGCCTGTGATGGGATATTAGATGGGGTGGGATCTGAGTTACCCAGGAAAGAATTCTCTGTAGTATCTGGCTGGTGAATCTTGCCCATATGCTCAGGGTTTAGCTGATCGCCATAATTGGAGTCGGGAAGGAATTTTCCTCCAGGGCAGATTGGAAGAGGCCCTGGAGGTTTTTCGCCTTCCTCTGTAGCATGGGGCATGGGTCACTCGCTGGAGGATTCTCTGCTCCTTGAAGTCTTTAAACCACAATTTGAGGACTTCAATAGCTCAGACATAGGAGAGAGGTTTTTCGCAGGAGTGGGTGGGTGAGATTCTGTGGCCTGCGTTGTGCAGGAGGTCAGACTAGATGATCATAATGGTCCCTTCTGACCTAAACATCTATGAATCTAAGTGACTTGCCCAAAGTCCAGCAATGAACGAGTGACAGAAATGGAAATAGAACCCAGGAGTCCTGACTCTCAATCCTTTGTTCTAACCCCTCCATATGAAATTACTACCATCATCTCCCCCACCCATGACCCATCTAATCAGTAGTTAGTAAACCCTATTGCACAATCTTAGATTTGGGATAAGGTATATGCAAAGCATGGGCTGGTTTTTTTGTTTGCTTGTCTGTTTGTTTTGTCTTCTTCCTCCCTTGAATGATTATTATATAGCTCAAAAGTGACACCAAAAATGTTATTCTTAACAGTTCCACTAAATCTTTACCACTTCCTCAGTGGATTTGGTTTCCTGACACATTCCAGACAACTGAGATATATTTTCCCAACACCCTTTCCATCTCCACTCAGGGAATAAAGCACTACAACAAAGTGCCTTTACACAGCAGAATAAATTGTATTTTGAAAAGAGACAAGCTAGCTTTAAAAATCTGGCACCTAAATCTAAGAAAAGGAGTACTAGTGGCACCTTAGAGACTAACCAATTTATTTGAGAATAAGTCTCTAAGGTGCCACTAGTACTCCTTTTCTTTTTGCGAATACAGATGAACACGGCTGCTACTCTAAATCTAAGAGTGATTTTTTTTTTAAATTAGCTAGCAGTTGCTCCATAGTCTAAGTTCCAACCTTATTCCTTAGAGGATTTTCTGCTGTGAGAGTGGTGGTCGTACTAAGTTCAATCAGCTGTGAGTTTCACAATGAGGACACTTATCATATTCCCCCCAAAATGCATCCTCCTGGGAAACGCTGAGATCCCTACTGCTGATTTTTGGTTTGGGATCCTCTACTGATGGTGACCCTGATCCTGGGCTGTGGCTAAGATGAGTTCAGTGCAGCCCTATATCTAGGGAGCACAAAGATGACTGTAAGCAACCTTTATGCCTTCCAGATTTTGGAACTACAGGGGATTGATTCAGCCCTTGACACAAGTTAGAGCAGCCTAGGGGCTGCTGTGACTAACATCCTGCCTGCAACAGTCCCCACAGGCGCCCCCAACAGATCATAATAGCCCGAATGCAGAGCATTCCAGCCTCCTGCCTTCCCCAACACAACCCTTCTCTTCCCGAGACATGTCCCTGACATGTCCAGGCACCAGAAGTTGTGATGGGGCCTGGTGTACTGTCATTACACCAGCCTAATATCACCAGGAAATCCTTTTTACACCTCAGGTAGTCCCCAGTGGTCAAGCTATTTTTTGGCTCCCTTACACTGCAGGCAGATGACTTCTAGATGCCAGTATAATACTTAGTTGATAACCCACTCCCTTTCCCATAAAGACACAGCTGAAAAGACACACAGTTCAAGCAGGAAACCACCGAGAAGGGGATCAGGAGTTCCTTACCTGCACAGTCAGGTAGAGGCCTTGTGGACTTGCAGCACTGCACCAGTTCACGCTGAGTGTTTTATGTTGGATCAATGCAGGCACCACAGACGTCTGGACAGACGAGTCCTCTTCACCGTCACTGAGGAGTGAATCTTGTCCACTCCCTTGAACAGAACAAAAAATAATGTTAAATAAATCAGCCCAGCAGAAACTGACTACAAACAGCTTGTCTAGCAGAGAGTGAGGAGGGATCCCTTTAGATTGATTCAGTCTTATGCATGCCTCCTGTTCTCATTCAGCAAGTCTATCTCCTCCTCCCCTCTGCCCACCCCCCAAGTTCTGTTCCAGGCCATCCATCATCATGCTAGTAACTAAAGCTGGTATTCAAGCCCCCTCCCTTCTCTGGCTCACAGCCAAGGTCATTAACAACTACAGTCACGCTTTCGATTCCTGCTGCCCAAAATACTTCAGGTCAATGAAGAAACCATGAGCTTTGTATGGAATCTCAGCCACAGGGCTGACGGATAGCTCAGTGGTTTGAGCATTGGCCTGCTAAACCCAGGGTTGTGAGTTCAATCCTTGAGGGGGCCATTTAGGGATCTGGGGCAAAAATTGGGGACTGGCCCTGCTTTGAGCAGGGGGTTGGACTAGATGACCACCTGAGGTCCCTTCAAACCCTGATAATCTATGATACTAGAGAGAGAAGGGGTGGGTGAAGGAAAGAAGGAAAAGCTGTAAGCAAAGCTACAGTCTGCCTACCTGAGTGAGCTGAGACTGGTCAAACTCATTTCACATATGACTACAACTTTCTCTTTGTATGTCATTTGGAAAATGTAAAGCACCATACAAGAACAAAGTATTTTTACAACTTGGGCAATGTTGATTAGCAAAATGAGCCCTTTAGGGCAAATATGATCTGTTGGCAAATGAACATAAGTTACAGGAATCCAAACTGTAGGAATCTATTCATGTATCTTTATGAAGAACCCTGTAAACAATCCAAACAGACTCTGAAGAATTATGCAAACTTCACCTCTCAATCTACAACGTTGTCAGACGCCTGAACTTTTTCTGTACTGTCAAAACTCCCACACAAGGGGATTGGGAATCAGGATTCCTGGGTTCTCCTCCCACCTTTGCCACTCACTTATTTTGTGACTTCAGTATCCACGATCTTATCCCCTATCTAATTGCCTGACCAGGTCTGCATCACAAAACCTGTCTAACTGACACTGCAGGACTAGTGAGCTAACACCTCCGCCCCTCTGAATGTGTTCTTCCTTATGGAACCAGAACCAAGAAGGACAATTCTAGAGGCGAAGTAGCCACTCTGTTCTTTTCTGGGTCCAACAGCAGAAAAAGCTCACTTGAGAAAATGGATCATCTCCCAGCTCTCTCAATGCTTAGCCAAAAATCAATCCCTGGATGGAGAGCAGCCGGCTAAAGCTGAACCCTGACTGGACCACTAAAGTGATGATGGCAGGAAGTGGCAAGCACTTTGCAGAACTTGCCTCCTCTCTCATCCCCCGCTCTCAAGAGTGTCTGTTACCAGGAGGCTATGGGTTGATATGGTTGTGGATTCCTCAATGCTACTGGAAAAGGAGGACTTGTGGCACCTTAGAGACTAACCAATTTATTTGAGCATGAGCTTTCGTGAGCTACAGCTGCTCATGCTCAAATAAATTGGTTAGTCTCTAAGGTGCCACAAGTACTCCTTTTCTTTTTGCGAATACAGACTAACACGGCTGTTACTCTGAAACCTGTCAATGCTACTGGATACTCAAATAGCCATGGTGGCAAAAAACACTCACTTTCTTCTGTGATGAGCAGGAGATTGTGTTCCTTCCTCCCAAACACAGCCCTGACTACAGTGACACTCTGGTGACCTCCAGGCTTGATCATTGCAACTCATTACGTATAGGAATGACGCTCCAGAGGGTGCAAAACACAGCAACCCCTCCGCTTAGCAGTGCAGGTCATCATGACCGTATAAAATCACTCAGCTCTCTGCAGTGGCTACTCAAGGTCTCTTTCCTGATATTCAAAGCCCTGTATAAGAGTGGCCCAATCTATCTGAGACATCATTTCTCCTTCAGTGACCATAACTTCTTACGGCGTCTACGTCCCACTAGTATAATGAATATACAGACCACAGAGGGAGGCTTGAAAGGGTGGAAAAGAGAACTTTCACGGGAGCTGGGCCTAAACCAGGGAACCCAGCCCTGAAAGAAATAAGAAAGACTACAGGTCTCTCCATGTCCAGAACTAAATGCAAAAATGAAAAGAGAACTTTCACGGGAGCTGGGCCTAAACCAGGGAACCCAGCCCTGAAAGAAATAAGAAAGACTACAAGTCTCTCCATGTCCAGAACTAAATGCAAAAATGAACTCTTCCATTTAGCTTTCCCATGATCAGTTCATCTCTCTCATACACAAACACACCAAAAAACGACTATAAATAAATCAAGCTATTTCTCCTACAGGCTGGAAAGGGACAGAGAGAGATTGTTATTGCTGTTTCTGTTCTTAAATAATTGGGAAGTATTCAGATACTATGGTGAAGATGGCTGTATACGTACAAGATAGATATATAATCTTGCTGTGCTTGTCACTTTGCCTCCCTATGCCTCTGTTTCCCCATCTTTAAAATAGGAATAACAACCTTTCAAAATCACGTGTAGTTCCTTAAATAAAAAGTATTACATACGTGCAATTAATGTACATTATTATTCCCCCACCAGGAAGGACACCATCTGATGCTAATCATACAGTACACTGGCTTTTAGTGTCTCACTCCCCACCAGTCTCTCCACCCAGTAACAAAGGAATGTTACTAGCTCAGTGGGGAAAGGGTAGGGGGAGAAATGAAAACACAACTTCAGACCCCTGCTGCTGCAGACCAGGCCAGCCTCTCAGACACACACGTCTATGGTCAGTAGTTAGAAATCAGAGAAGAGGAAACAATAAATAGACAAATTGCTGCCAAAGTTTAAGAACTTAAATGTGTCAGAGTGAACAACAAATCCATTTGTTTTTGATTTCCCACCCAAAATATCTAGTCCTTTTGCTAAAACCTGGCTTTAACATTTAGCCCCAGACTCAGAGTGACCCTGAAGCCTGCAAACAGACAGCAGGTGTTGTGTATAACTGCATAGAAGCAGCAGCATATTTCAACAAGCGGGTTTTGGTTCTTTTAGCTACTTTTTGAAAAGACATCAGCCCCTGAAAAAGAAAGAACGTTAAACTAAACTCACCTATTTGGTTTACGTGCTTTAGAGAGAGAGAGAGAACAAACTCTCCCGAGGAGCTGAGATGAAGGACGAACAGAATCCATGTGTTTTTCTTCCATGCAGATCACAGATCATTTATTTTCTTTTACATGTTAAAATTTAACTTTTGTCCCAAGGCTTCTGACTAGAAAGCAGGAGAGGAGCCTTTCACCTTCCACCACAGCAGCAGCACTGAAATACCTGCCTGCTAAGCCCTGGAGTTACCTAACAGCTTTTGTCTGGTTTGGAATTGCTTCCCCCGAAACCATTTTAGTCTCATCTCTGACATCTAAAAAGAAATGTCAAAAATGTGGGCTCGCTGGTTTTCTAGCCTCTCCTGGCTGTAGTGTGAGAAAGGGCGTGAGCAAGAGTGGGCTGGGCCTGGAATGGGATGAGCCATCACTTAATACTCACTGTCAAGAGGGAGGTCCTTTTTCCACAGGTCTTTCAATGAGGGAATAGGTCCCAGATCCCAGGTCTTGTGAGATGTAATCATGGCATAGGGTTCCAAAGCAGATCGACACCTCAGGGCCTGGGAATAAACACAAGCAAAGATATTCCAGCTGCAGGAAGTTAGCAGTCCAGGATGAGATACTCTAGCAAGCCATGCAAGTAGCAATGTCCCCAACTTGATTCCTACTCCCACACAGATCTGGAACGATTCAGATTTGATACTGGGAATTTGTCCACATGAGAAATGCCGACCTATACAAAGTAGATGTTACACACACTGTATCTGTAATTAACTTCATAATTCCTGTTTGCAATGTTATTGTAGCTGTGTTTCTTCCTTCTTCATGTTGTGATGTTTCCATTCTAAGTGCCAAAATTCCATAGCTTCCATAATTGTTTGCAGTGTTGTTTACCCACGTTGTTTTGGTTAATAATTCCTGTATCATTTCCAGCTTCTTCCACTACAACATTTGATTTTATAACTTTTACAATTGTAAGTTTTTCAGGGTAGGAATCATGTCGTCCTATGAGTCTGTAGATAACCTAGTACAATAGCCAGTAAATAAGCCCCAGTCTCTTACCTGTTCTCGTCTGCATCACGCTCTTATTGCATCACACTCTTATTGCACTGCTGTGATCTTGATTGGGGCCTTCAAAAGTGCTACCACCGTACAACGAATAGCAAAGATATTCAGGGTCTTTGTTCAGTTGTTGAGCCTGATTCTCATCTTGCACCAGTGTTTCCACCAGTGGACTTCAGTGGAATTACTTGATTTAAACCTTCATAACTTAGATTAGAATGAGACCTAGTGCATCCCACAATCAGGCCTCCACAGGATGAGAACCATAGACCACAGAGGCTGGAAGCAGACTGGGGAAGAGAGAGACTCCTATCCAAGCTGCTTTACAAAGTGGCATGTGCCATCTGGATGCCCAGACCTTCCATCTCCACTGCGCCTCACTCATCTGGAAAGAGACTCCCTCATTTGGGATTAAACTGAGAGGAAGTCTTCAAATCCTTTGTCTCACGAGGTAGGATTTGGCCGTGTTTGTTTCAATTAGACATCTAAACTATCACTCATAACGTTACAAAACTGCTCTCATTCATATTGTTGTGGTTCAATGACCCTGTGTCTCAATGATCCCATTGGGTCATCTGGAGAGGAAGGATGAACCTAACACGGGTTCAAGCACATGCAGCTGAGTCAATGAAGTAGTCAGAAAGCACTGATTTGGGGACTGACTCTAAACTCAAAGCCATAATGAAGGGGAGAAAAGAAAACTGAAAACAACCAAAAAAGCCCTGTGGCTTGGCACCCAGGCAGCGGCACGAAGAAAGGAGTCATTAGGAGAGTGCTCTGTGATCTAGGATTGTTTCGGTCAGTGTGGTCAAACTCAGAACTGGATACATGAGCCTTACCATCTCACATACACACACAGAGCTTCTGGTCAGAAATCTATGAAGCAGGAGAGAGCCCATTAAAAGAAGTGTAGTTATGCAGGGAAAGCCAGTGCCATGCAGGAACAGAGAAATAGCCCATGATCAGAAACTAGAGGTGAAGAGGAGAAATAAACAATTTTTTTTAATTGCATTTTTATTTAAAATCCCTGTCATCAGTGTATGCTTAGACTGGAAGCAATTCAGAGCAGGGACTGTCTTTTCTATGCCCTGTGAAGCACCTAACGCGCATTAATTAAAACACTCTTTTCTATTTTGCTCGTCAAGCTTCTTTCATCCAAAGATTTCAGAGTGTTGCATGAACATTAATGGAACCTTAAAACACTTCTCCACTCTGCCTCATTAACCATTACATCACTTATTAGCGTGACCCACCCCACGCTAACAGGGGCCCCAGTTCCCAACTGCCGCTAAATGGGCACAGGGGTCCATTGAGACGGTGGCAGCTGCAGGATCAGAACCCTGGCATTATCCCGCTGCTTATTACTGTACATTTATTCCGACTGCTGGAAATGCTGAATCTTGAAACTAAGATTACAGCACACGTTATGCTGTACATATTCATGGAATGAACGCCATGTATTTCGAAGCACCCGGCCCTGCTATTTCTGATGCATCTCACACGCAGACAGGGCTCTTGTCACACCTTTGGGCCTTGGCCGATGAAGCATAATGGCAACGCAAGAGCAGGTGCACGCTCCGGGGGAGAAACGAGAATTCCAACAGCCGGCGCACACCCGGCCAGGGGCCATCAGCTGCCAAACAAGTCACTGGAAATACAGACTGACCGATGGGAACGGCGGCGATTTGGGGGAGCTGGAGGGGGTGACAGAAGCAAAGCCCTGGTTAAAAGGCACAAAGCTGTGTCAGGCGCACGCCACCTACTGCTGCATTAGCTCCCACTCCGCCCCCACCGCCAATGACAAAGAGTCCTTTGAGAGAGACGAGGTAGGTGAGGGAATGTCCTGCATATGGGACCAACTTCTGCGGATGGAGGGGCCCAGCTTTCCCGCTACACAGAGCTCTTCTTCGGGCTCCTTGTGGCAGGGCCAGGAGAGAGAGAAACACACACACAGAGACAAAAAGAAAGAACCCCCCCCCAGGATCAAAGCAGAGGCACCCAGAGCAGAGGCAGGCCAGACAAAAGAGACAGGGACTCTCTGCTGCCGCAAGCAGCCGGAGAAATCCCCGTTGCAAACCTGCCTTCCTCGCTCTGCCCTCCCGGCCCGCTGATGCACGAAACAAAAAGGGCCGAGGCCAGACTCACCCAGTCGGAGCTGCCCGGGCCCGGGGTGGGCGCCCGGCACTGATACCCGGGCTAGCCGCCCCCAGGGCCAGGAGTGCCATGGCAATGGGGCTGCGCGGTCATTCCCTCACGGAGCGAGCCCGGATTCCGCAGGCAAGTCGCGGACCTTCCCCATTCTCCTCCCCTACACCCCCCCTCCCTTGCACACACGCACCCACGCACCCCCCCGCCCTGCACACATACCCCCACCCTACACCCACCCACCCCCACCCTTGCACACAGACACCCTCCTGCACACACACCCCCTCCTCGCACACACACACACACCACCCCTGCACACAGACACCCTCCTGCACACACACCCCCTCCTCGCACACACACACACCCCCTCCTTGCACACATGCACCCCCCCGCCCTGCACACACCCCTACACCCACCCCCCACCCCTGCACACAGACACCCTCCTGCACACACACCCCCTCCTCGCACACACACACACACCCCCCCCTCGCACACACGCACACACGCACCCCCCGCCCTGCACACACCCCCACACCCTACACCCACCCCCCCACCCCTGCACACAGACACCCTCCTGCACACACACACCCTCCTCGCACACACACACACACACCCTCCTTGCACACAGACACCCTCCTGCACGCACACACCCCACCCTTGTGCACACACACCACACACCCCCCCCACACACACACACACACGCTTTTCCTCAGGAAATAACTGACCCCTACTTGCTGCCGGTTGCTGTGGAAACCGGCTTCCCGCACTCCGGCAGCTCCTTCTCCGCAGAGGCCCGCGCTGGGGGGGCGGGGGGGGGGAGCAGAGCGAGCCCCCGCCCGGGCCCGCGGGCGGGGAACACCGGGCGGGCCCCTGGCCCCGCGCGAGGCGGCGCGGCGGGTCCCACGCCCCAGCCTGCCAGGGACCAGCGAGCCGCCCACTGGGGGGGGGCTCGCCAGGGAGATCGCAGCGGGCTGAAGGTGCAGCGGAGCAGGAGGAAGGCAGCAAAAGCCACCCGAGGAGTTTCCCCAAAGGGCCGCCGCGGACCGGAGCCAGGAGCGAGAGCAGGGGCTGTTGTCCTTTGTCTCGCGTACAGCGGCTGCATTTATCCCCCAGGAGACAGCAGCGCCCCCCAGCTAGGGGCACAGAGACCGGGCTTCGGAGCTCCGGCCAGCTTCTCGCTCGCTTGGCGTGGGAAGAGCTCAGAGTCCGCGCCCGTGGGGTCACAACCAGCCCCTTCTCTGGGAGAAACCCCTCCCCGCTTCCTGCCCTAAACTGTTGTCCAGTGGTGTAAACAAGCTGCCCTGCTCCGCCTCAGCGGCGGATGCATTCCTGTGGTGGTTGAAAGGATTCGCCTGCATGGTTTGTAAAGCATGCTGGGGTCTTTCTGGGTGAAAAGTGTTCGATGCAAACTCATTGTGGCCATCAAGTCATTCCCAAATGCAGGGTTTATTTTTAAATAATAAACCATAATATACATACTAGGGCTGTCAAGTGATTAAAAACATTAATCGTGATTAATTGTGCCATTCAAAACACTAATTGTCATTAATCGCACTGTTAATAATAGAATACCATTTATTTCAATATTTTGGATGTTTTCTACATTTTCAAATATATTGATTTCCATTACAACACAGAATACAAAGTGTACAGTGCTCACTCTATATTTATTTTGATTACAAGTATTTGCACTGTAAAAAATCAAAAGAAAACATATTTTTTCAATTCTCCTAATACAAGTACTGTAGTGCAATCTCTTTATCATGAAAGTTGAATTTACAATGTAGAATTGTATACAAAAAATGCATTCAAAAATAAAACAATGTAACATTTTAGAGGCTGCAAGTCCACTCAGTCCTACTGCTTGTTCAGCCAATCGCTCAGATAAAATCCCCCCCCCCGTATTTTCCACTGCATGCATCCGATGAAGTGAGGTGTAGCTCACGAAAGCTTATGCCCCAATAAATTTGTTAGTCTCTAAGGTGCTGCAAGTCCTCCTTTTCTTTTTTCAGACAAACAAGTTTGTTTACATTTGCAGGAGATAATGCTCCCGCTTCTTGTTTACAAGGTCACCTGAAATTGAGAACAGGCATTTTCATGGCACTGTTGTAGCCAGCATCGCAAGATATTTACGTGCCAGATGCACTAAAGATTCATATGTCCTTTTATGCTTCAACCACCGTTCCAGGGGACATGGGTCCATGCTCATGATGGGTTCTGCTCGATAACAATCCAAAGCAGTATGGACCAAAGCATGCTCATTTTCATTATCTGAGTCAAATGCCACCAGCAGATGGTTGTTTTTCTTTTTTTGCTGGTTCGGGTTCTCTAGTTTCCGCATCAGAGTGTTGCTCCTTTAAGACTTCTTTTTAGCATATCTGGCATGTAAATACCTTGCAATGCCAGCTACAAAAGTGCCAAGCAAATGCCTGTTCTGACTTTCTGGTGACATTGTCAATAAGAAGAAGGCAGCATTATCTACTGTAAATGTAAACAAACTTGTTTGTCTCTTAGTGATTGGCTGAAAAAGAAGTAGGACTGAGTGGACTTGTAGGTGCTGAAGTTTTACATTGTTTTGTTTTTAAGTGCAGTTATGTAACAAAAAAATCCACATTTGTAAGTCGCATTTTCACGACAGAGATTGCACTTGTATGAGGTGAATTGAAAAATACTATTTCTTTTGTTTGTAATATATACAGTGCAAATTTTATAATAAAAATATACACTTTGATTTCAGTTACAACATAGAATACAATATATATGAAAATGTAGAAAATATTTAATACATTTCAATTGGTACTCTATTGTTTAACAGTGCAATTAAAACTGCGATTAATCGCGATTAATTTTTTTAATCACGATTAATTTTTCTGAGTTAATCGCGCGAGTTAACTGCAATTAATCGACAGCCCTAATAAATACATATCAGGCTATCCGGATAGTTCTGAGCAGCTGCATGGAAAGATCTTCATGTTGATTATATTTTTAAATTTAAAAAAAAAGAGTGTATCTGTGTTTTTTAATTCATACATTTCCCAGTGTTGCTGGAAACCCAAACACAGGAACCTTATTCTAGTGTGTAGCAGCTAGAAAGCTAGATTATTCTTCAATTTATTATTGTGCTTTATAAAACAATAGGCACTTACCTACCACTCCACATGCCTTTGACATACATTCCAAAATCAAATCAGCTGGAACTAAAAGCTAAACCCACCAACAGCTCCCACCAAAACTAGACCCACGACAGAGCTCCCACAAAACTCAGTGCCTCCGTACAAACCTCAGTCCCTTTCACACCCCAAAAGTCAAAAAAATAGTTATGCTTTACAGCTCTGTCTACTCTGTTTCAATTGTCTAAGATGAATGAAATGCTAAAAGTAAACAATACAAATTAGATATTTCCTCTCCCCCCCCCCACCTTTTCATGTTCTCAAATTAGTTAGGCCATGTCTACACTAGCATTTATGTCGGCAAAACTTTTGGCGCTCAGAGGTGTGAAAAAACCACACCCCTGAGCGACATACATTTTGCCAGCATAAGCGCTCGTGTGCACCACGCTATGTCAGCAGGAGACGCTCTCCCACTGACAGAGATACCACTGCTCATTGCACTGGTTTTGTTATGTCAACAGGAGAGCTCTCTCCCATCGACATAGCTCAGTACGCTAGCCTTGCTGCTGTAAGCTTGTAAGTGTAGACATGGCCTTAGTAAAACGGTAAGGGATTTATTTAATAACATGTTTGTTTTACTTGACAATGACCCGATAAACAACAAAACTTTGCACGCTTCTAGCACCTTCAATCTGAGATTCTCAAAGCCCTTTGCAAACTTTAATGAAGCAAGAGCAATGCCCACTTTGTAGCTACAGATAGGGAAACTAAGGCATAGAAAGGGGAAGTGACTCACTCACGGTCACACAAAGTTTACAGCAGGGCCGAGAATAGAACCCAAATAGCCTGACTCCCAAGCCTATGCTTTAGCCACATGCTCATCCTTCCCGTTTCCACAAATTACAGGAATGACAAATTACTAGTTCTACATTTAATTGTGAGAGATGCATAAAAAACATGACTTAGACTTTAAAAATAGTTTCTTTCTTACAGAGCTAGCAGGAGACTAGATTGGTCCCTTCTAGTCCTATGTCCTACATTCCAATTAGAACTCAGGTAATCATCACTGGTGGCTCTGTAAGAAAACTGAACTATTTAGGTGAGGTCTCAGAAGGCTTTGCTATTATCCCCACCCGAAGTTTTGCAGGTATAACGGCATCTACACGAGGCGCTTTTGCCAGCACAGTTATTGTGTCAGCTGCCCAACACAGCTATACCAACAAAAGTT